CTCGGGCTTGGAATGTCATATCATACAGTAAAACACCCTAAACCCCTACACCCCTAACCCCTAAACCCTAAACCCTAAACACCTAAACCCCTAAACCCCCAAACCCCTAATGTAGTATAATATGACATTGTATCATATAGTACACCCAAATATATAGTATAATTGAACATGGTATGGGTGGGTGTCAAAATTATGGTCCCTTTGGGGGTCCCTGTTATAGTTATAGTACGGCACCTATTATTACATTACCCAAAAAGGGACCTTAATGTTAATTGACAACTCCCCATATCATACCGTGTAGCACAATACAGCATAATATAGCAGAGTACCATTTAGCATAGTGAAATTGAGTGTATGTTATGTAAAGTAGCTAGTATAGGGTTCTGTTTGGGTCTTAAGGGTTTTGAAGGGTTTAGGGCTTGTCACAGGCTTTAGGTTCAGCCTTTAGGGTTTTGAAGGGGTTAGGGCTTTTAGGGTTTAGCATTCAGGGTTTCGCAGGGTTGAGGCTTTTGAGGGTTTAGCATTCGGTGTGTTGGTTTAGGGCTTTAAGGGCTTAGGCTTCATTTTTTCGGGTGTTAATAAAAAAGGGTTTAGGGCCTGAAGGGTTTGAAGGGTGGGGGGATTTAGAGGTTTGAAGTGTTGTGTTCCGGGTTTCGGTCTACAAAATACCCATTAGCCTCATTGTGGTTCCTTTTTGTGATTACAAAACAAACTACTATGGGGCCTATGGGTAGATTAGCCTTGACTTTGGATTTGATTCAAAGGGCTTGGGGGCTTCAATGGTTTCATCGTTTCATGGTTTTGGAGTATTCAGGTTTACAGCAGGGGTTGGGGTTCATGTTGGGTTTTATTGGTTTAGGGCTTTCAGACGTTGAGGTTTCAATGATCAGGAGTTCATGTTTCGGCAAGGAATATTATGGGCACAGTGGTTTGGGTTGCATTGAATGGGTTTAGGGTGTTTAGGGTTACTACTCTCGCTTGTCTATCTTTCTAGTGGGCATTAGGATTGAGTTTGGGTGCATGGGCTCAGGTTTCAAGAGTTTCGTTTTGGGTTTAGTGTTTAGGGGTTTAGGGTTTGGGTTCAGCTTTTGAGAGGTTACCGTAACCGCCGCTGTAAGGGTAGCAAAAGGATCAGGCTTTGGGGTCATCTGGTAGCAAGAGGGCTTATGTAGGGTGTTGGGTTTTTGTTGCCCAGAGCGTTGCCAATATGCTGTTTCGGTTGCATGCAGCAGTCGGTGGGTCTAGCAAAGCTGTCTGTAGTCGTCTTCTCGATGAGAACGGTGGTCAGAAGGATGACGATGCTGATGTTGACGGCACTGTATGTTATTTCTCAGGCTACGCAGATGTTGCCGATGGCTGCGAGGATGACAGCTCTGAAGAACTTGCCGAGGAACCATGATCGCATGATGAAGGTGATGCTGCTGGTGATCGTTGTGTTTTTGGCTGCTGATCGGTGATGGTGGGCATAACATGTGGCAGCTATAGGTGTTGATTCTGTTCTGGATGTGAACTGCCGAAGTCGTCGCATCAGGCGTATGTAATGTGTACTGACATGTTGATGTAGCTGGGCTTGATGTGCATGGGCAGTGTCTATGCCAAGGCAAAGGAAGGGTTGTTACGACAATAGACTCGACACTGTAACTATAACATCCCAACATGTCTTTTAAGACTTGAAGCACGCTTTGGGTATTGCTGCTTCCTGCTATGATGGCTGATGCTGCTCTTTCCATGAATGAAAATGCTGCTGTCGCAAGGTGCTCATGCTTCCCATCATTGCCCATATCTGATTGTGAATCTCCGTGGCATGTCCTTGTGTTTGTTCTTCATTGCCGGTGCTTACACCGTCATCCTTCAGTCTATCCAGGCCATCGTGTCTTTGGTCTTCTGCAGAACTATCATGACGATGACTTCCAAACCAGATCTTTGACAAACTGGTTGTGCAGCCCCGAATGACGATCCCGTTGCGTTTTTCGGTCCAGAGCTTTTTGGAATCTAAAACCGCTTGAATATCGAACTCCCCATAGCGTACAGTTGGTATAGTTGGCCCCTTCATGACTTCATGTTGATTGCCCCAGTCAGTGGTATGAAGCAAGCCTCTCTGCGAAGCAGTTCATCAGGTACGGGCCAACCAGTTGAGGATCTTAGACCTCAACTGGAACGCACTCCATGGGGACGGTGCAGAGGCTGCTTACTCTCGAGTTGGGGTCCAGTTCCAGGTATTTGCGTGGGGTCTTGCCTTCACCTAACTAATGTCGTCTTACAACATAAATCGTAAGCCCTATGAACCCTCATCCCTCAACCCGAATCCCCAAACCATCACACAACATAAAGCCTGACTCTTGGCACCACGGTGACTCCACTGAGCAGGTGCATGGATGTATGCACGAAGCCCTCTCTCTCTCTCTCTCTCTCTCTCTCTCTCTCTCTCGCCGTCTATCTCTCTCGGTCTCTCGCTCTTTTTTCGACGATCTTTTGTACCAGTATCATGTACAGAAGGTATGTCTACTCTACATTAGCAGTGCGCACATAAGAGCGGTCTTGACGGCTAATTAGCGGAGTTTGAGAGTCTTGTCCGTTTGGGTACCTTGCTCTCCCCCCCGGTCCCTGCGCCCGCAGTCGAGAGGCGTTTTTGGATGGATTGCACCAGAACGCCAGCTTTGGTGATGAGGACCAGCAGGCACGGACGCACTAATCTGATCAGCCGGATTCATCGAGGGTTGGTGGCGTTTTTAAGTTTCTGTCACATGCTGCAACAGCACTTCTTGCTTAGCCGCAACGTCCAGAATGCATCCGGCCCTTATCATGGATGAGCAAGCTTATGTTTTCGCACCCATAGCTACGAACGTTGCAAAGGGATCCTCAAGGTGATCATCGTATCTGTCAGACCTTTGCATTGACACAAGCCTCCTCCCCCGCCCTCAGAACTGTGTTGACACCTGAGGGAAATTACGACACCCGGTGCAGTAAACCTTGAATCCTAATCCTAAACTCCAAAGATTAGCCCAGTGCTTCCAGGGTGGCGTCCGGCGATTGAGCCTGGCTTGGAACCGCTGCGGCCTTAGAGTCTTTCGGGGTACAGGGTCAAAGGGGAAAAGGAGGGACCCTTAATGGGGACCCCTACCCTATAATGGGCTATATAATGGGTATATAATGGCTATATTATGGGTATATACTTAGGGGTCCTTATTAGGGGTCCCTCCTTTTGCCCTTTGATAGGTTAGCTTTATGCTGTAGGGCTTATCTTTCTGTCTCCATTGTACATCCTTGTTTGGGGTGCAACAGAGTTAACTTGATGCCTAGGACCCTATAAGGCAACCCCAAAACAACCAGAATGGAGACTACATAAAGCAGGTTACTTAGGATTGAACCCACCTCTACGGCCAGAAGCGCGTCTTCGATCAAGCTGACCGAGTCGAAGGATCCGTGTGCAAAAGATTCAAAAATGCAGCAAAGAGGCTTTGCTTCTTGAGCCCCAGCCCATCCCAGCCCTACCCATAGGCCCCGTAGTAGTTCCTTCTTGGGGGGTTCATGTGTAGAACCCTATAAGGTAATCCCAAAAGGAACTGCTATGGAACCTATGGGTAAACCCTAAAAAACCCTAAACCCGAAAAGACCCTAAACCCCAAGAGACCCTAAACCCTAAAAGACCCTAAACCCTAAAAGACCCTAAACCCTGAAAGACCCTAAACCCTAAAAGACCCTAAACCCAAAACAAGCAGCCCTAAACAGCGAAAAAAAGCCCTAGGCCCCCCAAAAACCCTACGCCCTAAACAAAAACCCTAAACCCCCTTAAATTACATGAATCCTGAGCTGCTCAGGCCTCGGTAGTGGACGTGTTCCCAAAGGCGATAGCCGAAAGGCCGAAGCTACCCGCGGCCCTCGGCGCGCTTCTTTGGGGGGGGCTACTTTGGTTTAGGCGGGTTACCTATATAGGGGCTTGGGGGTTTAGGGGGTGCTTCTTGGGGAGGGCCTTGGGCTTGGGGCTACTTTGGTTTAGGGGGGTTACTATAGGCGTTGGGGGGGGCTTGGGGGTTTTGGAGCTTTTCGGGCGCTATAGAGGTTACGATGAGAGTTACGATGTGAAGCTTATACGTTTACTATCTGGGTCTAGGGTTGGAGATTTGGAGACTTGGGGTTACTATAAGGGGTTCGCAGAAGGGTGCTGCAGTTAACGTTTATGTAGATTTTGCGGTTTGGGGTCAATGTTGGTGTGTTAGTCCAGCGGGTGGCCAGGGAAGGGCGCCCTCCGGCTGTTGGTTGACCCTTTATGCAGGAGACCTTGAGCATGCGTCTGCATGCGAATTAAGTAGTGCGACTAATACTGCTCTCAGGCTGAAACTGCGGATATATTGCTCTGATGCCAAAGCCACATCAGATGTCGTTTCACTGCCAGGTTGCGCCAAGCTCCTGGCCGCCATCTTCCAAGATTGCAAGACCCTATTTCACTTGGCCGCTTGCCCAGCTCTCTCTAACCTACATACTGCTACACACATCTATATACATATATACAGATGCCATAGATCCTTTTCATGTACATGTATACCATGGCAAAGTCGACTTGCTGGCATGACTAAGCTGGTTATGGTTTAGTCGAGTCTTGTCAGCATGAATGACTGCCTGGGCATTGCCTGCACGAGCCGATCAAGTTCAAATCGTAATGTAGGGGCCTTAATGATTAGAATGGGGGTTGGAGGTATGTTATCCTTGAATTATGATAAGGGGCCCCAAATATTTTTTCAAATAAAATGTTAAGGCCGTCACATGAATCGCTTGTCCTTGGTCTAGTAGCTTTGCTTTTGGGCCGTGTCGGTACGAGGAATCTTAAACCCGAACATCCCAGGAACGAGTGGCCGTGCACAAGACGAAATGTATGTTCCGACCTCCCTGTCTTGCCGTCCTAACGACCCCCAAAATTCAAATCCCTTCAACCCCAAGAATCCGGAATCCTACCCCGGAGCTAAACGCCTTGAAGGCCCTAGACATCCCTGAATGCTAATTCCATGCGCTGGGCATGGCTCTGCCTGCTGCCACCGCTGGGGTCCGGGCCTCTTGGCGAAGAAGTTCGAATCCAGGCTTAGGATTGACTACCTATATACAGTCTCCATTGTAGTTCCTTTTTCTGGTTAACCAACATCTGTATTATAGGATCCCAACCATAAAACTGGATAGCCAAAAAAAGAACTACAATGGAGACTGTAGGTACTGTTGGGGTTTCTGAACTAGGGGCCTTGTAGCTCGTTTGGAGCGTATAGCTGCGAAGATGTTGTTGCCTCGTTTCAAGGCAATGAAGTGTAGTTCGATACTGTGGTGCAGCAAGATGTGTTGCACTACGATGGACTGGGAACTGAACAGTGCATGTTGCCTCAATGCATGCACGCACATAATGCCAGTCATATATCTCAGCCGCAATCATCTTGATATGGATAGCTATGTAATTGGACGAGTAGGCTCACACGCATATGCATACATCGCCACAGATGCCGGTGAATCTGTCCGTACAGGTGTGCAGTGTGTTTGTGAGTGTGCAGATAATGTCGAGATGTTCATTAGACAACAGGGCTTTTCAATATGTCGAATAATTACATTCTAGATAGTCAGGTCATACATCAACCCTGTACCCGGAACCCAAACCCGGAGGGCCCAGTACCCCTTAATTAAGGAATATAGTTTAAATCATGAATATGGAGCCCTATACAATGTAAGGAGTATAGCTTAAGTCACAATATGAAGCGCTATAGAATTTAAGCCATATTCCTTAATTAAGGGGTATTAGAATCCCCTAAACCCTAAGCCTGTGGATCCCTTATAGATCCCGTAAAGATACCCTAGGTATTCCTTAATGAAGGGCCCCTTGCCTTGTACTCTCTGGGATGTACTCGAGATGCCTGGGCGCTCCCTGAGGCAGCCTGGCGAGAACTCTTCCTACCAAGAGGTCAAGAAAACGTCCCTCATCAGGTGGGTCAAGGCCGTGGTTTGGCTATGTTTTGTCGGTATGTGTTGCGAGTGGTAGGGTTTAGGCTGCTAGGCTTTGCGGTTTCGGGTTTAGGGTCGCGTTGTTGGGGACTAATGGAGCCCAAGTCAGTGGATAGCCCTATACGGCTCAAGGTTGGAGGCGAGTCTGGTGACACGCCGGGACGGTAGGTGTCAGAATTTCAACAGTCGGTTTAGGGTCTAGGGTGTGGTTTGGGGCTTAGGGGTTCGGCCCGGAACCAAAATCTGCAAAAACCCGCAAAGGCTAAGATCACTTTAAAGCCTAAGCCTCTAACCGGGGCATATGCCGCAACCTGCTCCTACCACCCTAAGGTTAGCACCCCAAAACCCACCATCGGCTGCACATGTCTTCGTGGGGCCGCACTTGGAGGTTCATGGGTAGTTATAAGTAGGGTTATAAGCAGGGTAACTATACTTATAACCCATAGTAAGGGGCTTATAACCCTACTTATAACTACCCCTGAACCTCCAAGTATCGTGCCGTCCCTTCCAGTCTCTCCAGACCTTTCAGAAACACTCAGAATAGGGAAGCCTAAATGTAGGATCCCCAGAATCAAGGCGCAAGGGACTTGGGGCATAGAGTTTAGAAGTCCTACGCCCTAAATCCTAAACCTCGGTTGGGTCTAACATGTGTAACAAAAGAGCCTACCTGGACCCGGACCCCAAGAGTATGTAGAATAATAGCCTTTTATGGGTTTTGGGCCATAATTTTACCTACCTTGGGGGGGGGGTTTAGGCAAGCCCTATAGACACCAAAGCCCTGCAAAGAGGCCGAAGGATCGAACTGGGATCCGTTTGTGGGTCGTCCGGCGCAGGCCGCTTCGAATTAGACGCTGTGGCGGAGGGGTTTGGGGTTTAGCATTTAGGGCTTCGGGTTTAGGGTTTAGGGTTTGTGGAAGAGGAAGGGTTTGGGGCAAAGTATCGCCCAAAATACGAAAGTCAAAGCGGCGCTGCAGACTCCTTACTTTCCTGTGCAAGCGGGTTCTAGGGCCCAAGGGCTTCCGTGAGTTTTAGCTTCAGTCCGTGGAAGCCTTGTCTGTGGCATGCGCTTAAGGCTTATGGCTTATAGCTCCACAGTAATTGTTTCTTTGGGATACCTTATAGAAACTCAAGTATGAAGTTGGTTAAACCCCCAAAGGAAGCACAATGGAGTCCCTAAAGCCCCGACCCTGAGCCTACAATGGAGACCCCCAGCTACGGTCTGTTAGATCCTAAATACCCACTATTAAGGATCATGAGGGCCCGTGGGGGGTCCTGGGATGGGAAGGGTTTGGGGTCTGTGGCCCGACCTTCCGCGTTGAAGCCTCCATGGTGCCAAGAGCTACTTTGAGGGCTACATGTTCCTTAAGGGTCCATTTGCCTAAATAATATATACATTGAATTGGCCTTACAGTTGTCCCTATATAGGTAACATTGGGGCCAAAGTATATACTATTTGGGTACATGGACCCTTAGGGGTAGGGTTTAGGGTTTAGGGTGGTGTATGGGAGCTACTCCGGATTCGGCCGGGAAATTTTGGGAATCCCTCCTATAAACGCCTTTAGGGTTTAGGGTTTAGGGAATCAACTTCAAGCAAAGCTGAAATCTGGAGGGTGCTTGGGGAAGTTTTGCCGGTGGAATCCTGAGCCACCGTGCAGTTTTTGAGACTTACCCTAAGGGTCCATGTACCTACATAGTATATACACTGGCCTTAAAGTAGTCCTTATATCGGTACATTGGGGCCAAAGTATATACGATTTATGTACATGGACCCTTAGGGTTATTGGGATGAGACTTGAAGCACAAGCCTACATCGCCAAAACCCGAACCTGAGATCCTTGCCCTGAAAAGAAATGCACCCCGACACCTGAACGTTAAATCCTGAAAGCCCTACAGTAAGTCAAGGTTTTGGCCCAACTGCAGTTTGATTCTCCGATTCCCAACCTATTGTGCTTCTTGCCCACATAGTGCTTGATAGCGTTTTGACAGCTTGGCCTGTGCATTTTCGTTGTTGCCGCAGGGGCGCTGCTAGGGTTAAGGGCTGACGGTTGTCGTTCGGACAGCTGGACCTGATAATATTGGGGGTGGGATGGCTGTATAGCAGTTAGGAAGTAAAAGAAAAACGTTGTTGCACTTTGTAGCGGATGTCTGGATTAGGTCGACCTCGGGGGGTGAGGGGGTATTTATAGATTAAGGTCGATTCGGGTCCTCTACTTCAGGTGCGTGAAACAAGCCCGTAGATTCACTGTAGCTCCTATAGACCCAACATCCTGAACAGCAGTTCTCTTGCACTGGAACTAGTAATGCGGTTCTAGTACTATCCATATGTCGGACTCAAAACCTTAACTTACTGTTTAGGGTTCCCTGAACCCTCAACGCTACATGAACACTAAAGCGGATAATCAGCAAAGCTTCTGTTGACGTCCAGGTGGTAGCAGTTGCAGACCATTTCCTTCTCGTCAACATGGCAGCTTGCCTCCATAGTGCAGGGGGGTTAAATAATTGCTAATACTGTTATTATTGTATAATGGGCCCCCTAACCCTATTCTAATGATTCAGGCTCCTATAGTACGTACAGTGCGCAAAGCCAGTCTCAGATGGTTCAGGTCGAAGTGAATGTGCCAGGTTTTGGGGCTCTGGGGATTTGCATAACACCCTGTCAGGGCAAGTGGAAACAAATGGTAAGGTGTTAGATGGATTCAGCATTTTCCTTGGGTATGTGTGCGTAATCAGCAAAATGTGGGTTCGATTGAGGCTTTTTCTTGCCTGAATGTCAAGGTTGTCACGGTCCTGCAGACTCAATGACCACATCTGCCAAGCATGACGTCATCCTTACCCTAAGCCTAAGCCCTACTTCCACACAACCTTGTGCACAATGCCATTCAATAGAAACGGTGCAGCAGCTGCTAGGGCTTACCCATAGGCCCCGCCCCATAGCAGTTCCTTTTTATAGGATTCTACATATGAACCCCCAAAAGGAACTAGTGGGCCTACGGGTATAGACTTTTAGACCTGCTGCTGGAAGTCCAAGGTATGCAATCTTGCCAGGACAGTGGAGTTCGCTTTTCGGCTGCATTTGGAAGCCCTAAACCCTAAAGCCAAAGAGTTTTGAACCCTGAGCTTCATTCTTAGTTGAAGGACCACTCCGAGGTTTGAGACTAGCGTGAGGGGTCAAGAGACTTGTTACCCAGAACTTCGGGAAAATCTCTTAATTTGGGACCCTGTCCCAATAAAGGCTACTTCAAAGGAGCTGCGTGAAGGGATCTACTCTCAGGGGTCTGGGTAGCTTCGGTTGAATTCCAGCTTATCCTAGCCATCATCATGGCCTCGCTACTCCCTTAACCCCGAATGACCTACTTTCTTAAGGACTTAGAAACCCGAAACCCTAAGCCCTATAAACCCTAAGACCTATAAACCCTAAACCCTACGAACCCTAAACCCTAACAAAGAGCTGAAGGTTATTTTGGGGCCCAGGTCCGGTATCTGACAGAAGGTTGGAACATAGGCCCTTTGCCCTGACGGCACATGGGAGTTTCCGAAAACCTTATTTTTGGGGGTCCTTATAATCAGGATCCTACTATTTAGGGTACTATCATTAGGGTCCCCCATTTTCGGAAACCCCCACATGGCTACTTAGAGGCGCAAGCGACTTAGTAAGTAGGTTATAAGTAACTAGGGTCATAGATTATAAGTGCCCTCAATGGAGCTAAATAAAACCTACTTACCAAATCCACTGGGCCTCCAAGTCGCGATCCCGACAGATTTGAGGAGGATGGCTTGTTGACATAATACACACGAAACGTGGACCACACAAAAGCTGTCATGGAGATATCGCGACATGATGCCAGCCGTAGCCATGCCCATAGGCCCCACCCTCTTTGGGGTTCATATGTAGAACCCTATAAGGTATTCCCATAAGGAACTACTATGGGGCCTATGGGTAAACCTTAAACAGACCCTAAACCCTACCTAAACCCTAAACCCTATAAACCCTTAACCCTTAAACCCTAAACCCTATAAACCCTTAAACCCTAAACCCTAAAACCCTAAATCCCTAAAAAGCACATGCCAGGCTGGCGGATTCTTGCGCGTCGTGGGCTTGCCCGAGGCAGCGATCTGATTGTGCCGCATGGAAAGAGTGTGGGGTTCAGGGTTGAAGGTTCATGGCCTAGGGTTTAGGGTATATACATACATAAGCATATATGTAGTTACACATATATGTATGTGTACACCGCATTCGATCAACACAGCAGCGAAGAAAGCAAATACCAGTACTTGAGGAACGCTGGTGGTTGCGGCATATTTCCGACAAGGCTGGTTGGATCTAGTGTAGCACTGCACGAGCACGTCTAGCACCAGCAAAGACAAGTACCATCTTCATGTTCATAAGCAGTTTGGTCAGCCGTAGCATACTCGTCAGCATTGTTGCTGGTCCGGGCATCGTCACCGTCGGGCTCAACGCTGTGAGGATTACTACCCTGGCTATGCCTTCATCATACACGGCACATGTACAAACTCATACGGTGGATCAGAAGCTTCACCATCACGAAGATTGCCATTATCCGCATTGCCACGTTCAGCTACATCCGCAGTCCCACACTCTCCATCTTCAGCCTCATACGGTCAGCAGACTGTGTCGCTTCGTACTGGGAGCTTGTAATCTTTGGTATTCCGTCGGCAGCAGCAATCCGCGACATGGACTGGTGCTGGCTCACGGTGATGTTAGTGTACAGCCATTACATCGTTGTAGTACTGCTAGGTGCTGCCGTTGGTGCTTTCGACATGTTGCCGTGATCATTGTATGTGATGTTGGAGGCGGTTGTGGAAGTGCTGTTGGTGATGATTCCGTCGCTCTGGATTTTGTTGTTGCTTCTGGGAGTTGGTGTCAAGCTCTGGCCGTCGTAACTTGGTTCCATTGAGGTCGTGATCCAGGCACCCGCATCATGTCGAAAAAGCAGCCTGGTACCTCTGCCTCTGTCCCTTTCCACATGGCAGCATCTCTCTTCACCACTAAGCCCTACGACCTGAGCCCTCTTCGTTCACGAATTTCACGAACACAGATGTGTTAGCTGGTCCCAGGAGGTGAAGCTCCCTGGCAACTTTGCAGCGCAGCAAGAGGCCCGAAACATCCGTAACCCATGCCGTCAGTTTCAAACTTAACATCTAGGGCCTAGCGTGTTAAGGGGAAACATGTAGGTTCTGGGTCAGGGTGTGAAGCTTCAGGCCACAAGAAGTCTCAGATTTACTCACACAGCATCGTTGCGGCATGTTGTGGTCGTGTTCTTCGTTTCGCATCAGAGCGGTCTCTGCGTTTGTACCGATTGGATAATTTTACAAGTCAGTTCTTCGGGTTTAGGGTTCTGTACAGCTGCAAGTAGCTCTCTATCAGTATTGTTCAAAGCCGCATTACATCCGCTTTTGCAGCATGCGCAGTGCATGCGCAGTCTGCTCGTTCCCTCTTGAATGACCTGCTTTCCAACGAAACTGAAGACTCCTTCAACTGGAGACACCAGTACGCTTTGACTTGATGCTTTCTCTCTTACTGGTCTGGTTTCGAAGCTTCTGCACATGAACCCTCCTAAATGACAAGCGGAACAGTTCAAACACAAACAACAATGCCCAACCCCCTTCACCCTGAACACACAGACCTTCTCTAAGCCCCAACTACACCACATGACACCCGTGACATCCCGCGACCTGCAAGCCCTTATTTCTACGAGCTCTTGGCCCGGTCCACCCGTAACCTTCCCCAACGCTAAACCGCACCAATACTAAGCCCTCCGAACCTTGTCTCTACAACCTACGGGCCCAAGGGCCGATCAGTTCGTTAAGCCCCGAATTTTCAATACCGACCCTCTGAAAGCTATTCCCTGTGCGACGCAGAAACAGTATCTGATAGCCGCAAGCAGCGTAAACCCTAGACCTGACCAATGAAATCCAATGACTCCCAAAACCTAATGAACCCCCCCAAAACCTAATGGACCTCCAACAATGCATGAACAATGGCAGCCCTGTCCTTGGAATGTTACACATATATAGATATAGAGAAATAATCATACATATATATATATACATATATATATATATCCAGCAGTAGTTCTGCAGACTTGTTAGTTCATCCTGCGAAAGTCCGCCTCAGGCCATCAAAGAGCGGAGTGCCAAGAAAGAGGCTTCGATTCCTCGCGGTTTGAGGGTCAGGGTCAGGATTTCTAGGCTTTGAGGGTGTGTTGGTTTTTCTGATTTTTAATTAAGTGGCTATGACTGCAGGGTCGCATCACTCCTGCGTTTACATGGGGTTTGCTTTGCCCAACTAATTAAAGCGCTCTTTGAATCTAACCCCGAGGCACTGTTCGGATATAAGCTTTAGGCTTGGTGTCTCGACTGGTCTCCATGCATTTCAGAATGCGTTCAGATGGGTTTTGCTGTAGTGGCACTGCATATACCAACAGAAGGCTAAACCAAGTTGGACTCACAATCCCTGTTCTGCAAGCTGAACCAAGTTGGATTCGTCATACCGTTCAGACGAGTCGGACATTGAATATCGCCCTGATATGGCTGTAACGGTAACGCACATCAAGATCCTTGGAATGCCTGCGAATCAACTCAGAAACCAGTTTAATCTCAGCGGTTGCAATCGGACTTTCCACTGCTTTGTGCTGAGCTTTGACTGACTTATAGGAAGCTATGATCCGTTTCTGCACTTTCGAAACCGTTACAACCTTCGAAGCCCTATACCCTAAGACCATTGTCAGGTTTCAGATCCTCAAGCATCAACCCAGCCCCACACCTATCCCCAGTTGCTTAACCCCCATTGCGGGCGGAGGGGCTTAGGGGATGGGGTGTGGGTCTTTGGACATGTTACGGTTTTCTCCTGAAACCTGAGCCCTTGCCGCAGGGATGGGATGCAAGCGAGCACCTCGACTTGTTCAGCGATGGATTGCACCGCTCAAATCCTAAACCCAAAACCCTAATCCCAAATCCTAAACCCCAAACCCTAAACCCAATCCTAAACCCTAAACCCTAAACCCAATCCTAAGCCCTAAACCCTAAACCCCCAATCCTAAACCCTAAACCAAAATCTAAACCGAGCCTTGAACAGTAAATCACTTAAGTCCTACCCTAGACTTGCCGACCTGCCGGTTGAGGGCTTTGGATAGCATTAATCATATTGTTAATATTGGGTCGACTGAGTCCTTACCTATAGTCTCCATTGTAGTTCCTTTTTTGGTTTAAACAATTATATATTAAGGATCCTATAAGGTAACCCCAAAAGGAACTACAATGGAGACTATAGGTAGAAATCCCAGTTTCTTCGGCTTCTTCGGCGATGCTGCCTGGAGGGCCTTGAGGCGCATCCAGTCCAACGAGACGGTCGCAGCTGGGCAAGGACAGTGCTTCCGTTGATGATATAAATCCTAGGGTTCCTTTAGAGGGATCTATATAAGGGTACCTTTAAGGGGCTCCTTTAAGGGATCTATAGGGTTTTAGGGTTTAGGGTTTAGGGTTGATGATATAAATCCAGCATTACCTTAAGGACCCGTAACTATAGGAATTATGGTGTATTTCCTATTATGGGTAATGCAGGATTTGTATCATCAATCGTTCCGCTCGTTGCCTATTCCAGAGGGTTCAGGGTGTAGGGCTCAGCAGTTTGGTGTCAGGCTATACGACGGCGTAGTTAGCTTCAAGGATCTATATGGAGTGACGGTCTTAGGGTGTTGGGTTCAGGTGTTGGATACAGGCTACTTTAGGTTCCGTCAACCGATTTCAATTCCTGCCATACAGGCCCTTGGAATATCCTCCGAGATTCAGCCTTGTGGCACGACCTGTCTCGGTTGGAAGCCTGCATGAAAGCTAGGGCAGGTGGGCTTCCGGGTACAGGGTAGTGCTATTCTGATGGTGGTAATCGCTCACACAACACAGCTAGACCAGCTAGGCCAGGATGATCGCTCGGAGAGGATGCTGACTCATCGATGTTCATCAGCCATGTTCTTGTTTTGCAGGTTTGAAGGTTTGGGTCCAACTCAGAAAGGAGAGGATTTAGATTGCGAGGTGTTGAAAGCCTGCCGAGGGCAGCCGACACGAAATCAAAAAAGCCTGGAGAGCTGAAGACCAGGTGCAGCGAGCCGGACACGTACTTAATGTAACAGATCTAGTCGTATAGAGTCATAGCCGTGTTGAGATAGATGGTAGTGGTCAATCATTTCAGCACTGACCAATGTGTATAGCCGTATGGCAGAAGGCATGCACGGTGTGTGCTGAATTTGTTCGCTGCTGCTTAGAGATTGTCTTCGCCGTCTCAGACAGGAAGAATTCGGTGAGAAAGGCAGGAGTTCCCAACAGAACAAAACAAGTTGTGAAAGAGATACCCATAGGCCCCATAGTAGTTCCTTTTTGAGCGTTCCTATTAGCAGAATCCTATAAGGTAATCCCCAAAAGGAACTACTATACAGTTACAGTTACATCGCAGAAGCCCAGGCGATGGTGGATGCATTCGATGTCTCGTTTCAGCGAGCCATGTCGGCAGATATCAGCTTTGCTCTGCCTGCATGGTCGAGGGTTTAGGGTTTAAGGTTTAGGGTCAGTCGGACTGTTGCGTTTCTATGGTCTTTATGGAAGCCACGCATGCCTCATCCACTGGAAGCCACGCATGCCTCATATACGGGCTCTGGTTACCTAAACAGTATCATTGAATAATATGTAGCCTATCAACCCACAGGGTGGGAACAATCGATTCGATCAATTCTTGCGGCGGCCGATTCGGCCGATCGGTCGATTCCATCGATGGGTGGGGGGCCGTTGATGTGTGCATGCGTAGGCTGTCGTCGTAGTAAGCAACAACAGAACCTAAGCCCTGTGACCTAAACCCTGCCATTCATCTCTGTACATCGTTTGTAAATACTCTGTATCCAGCCGAAATCCCCTGAAGATGACACGCACGTGCATTGTTGTTTCCTCAACCCTCCACCCCAGACTCCGAAGATAAGCATGGAGCCTGTTCAATATGAATCGCACAAATCGACAAGTGTACCGATGGTCGGGTGCCCCAGAGTGCACTTTTTCATTTACAGGGTTTTGGGGTTTTGGGTTTTAGTTGGGTGTTGAGGTTTGGGGTGTCGCCCTTCGTGGCGTTAGGCTCGGGTTCTCGCCCTTCGTGGCGTGAGATAGGCTCGGGTTCTCGCCCTTCGTGGCGTTAGTTAGGCTCGGTCGGGTTCTCGCCCTCCGTGGCGTTAGGGTAGGGGTGTTAGGGTAGAGATTGGGGCGTTAGTTAGTTAGTTTTTGGGAGTCGGGTGTTAGGGCAGACATTGGCCTTTTTGAATAGGGTAGGGGTATCGCCCGCGCCGGGTGTTAGGGTAATGGGTTACCCATTATTTAGGATAGCTGGAACCCCAGCGTTACACGGATCCCTAAACCCTAGCCCTAAGCCCCAAACCCTACTGAACCCGAATTCCACCAAAACTCCTGTGGCATCGATTTCCCCACTTAGTCCTCACTGAATCGCCAGCATTTCGCGAAGCTGGGTTGGGGCTTCTCTGGTAGGGATGGGCTTTAAAGTTGGGAGACCTCGGGCTCAGGGAGGTTTACGGCTTTTTTGGATTTCTGGGGGGCTTGTAGCAGACAGTTGCTTAAGAAGCTTTGCAAGGCTTTACGCTCGATCCCTGCTGCTAGGCTCACTTGAAGACATGGTGGCCATCTACGAAGAGCTGGCGGCTCCTGCTGCAAAACGCACGGGAGCAACTCGTCGCAGGTACAGCCTCCTCTTGGATGAAGGGCTGTTGTGCGCGTATGAGGGCTTTTGTAGCTGCGCACTTTCTTTCTCGCTGAAAACCTTGACTTGTTACAGAATCGCTGGTAGTGACATCTTCTGGTTCTACAGGGTAGTCGAAGTGACTCAGCTCGTGATGGCGATGATGCTGACCGTTGGGCCTCTTTCTCTTGGATTCAGCACAGTGTCTCGAAGTTTCAGTGGCCCCAAATCCTAGACCTGTACAGTAAAGTAGTAAAGCCCTATCATACGGCCTATAAAGGCTTATAAAAAACCCCAAGACAGCTACAAGGACAGAGAAATGGGTGGTTGTCAAAATTAGGGTCCCTTTGGGGTCCTTATTATCATACGGCACCTAGAATTTAAGGGACCCAACAAGGGACCCTAATTTGGACAACCACCCGGGGTCGCTTCCAGGCTTGGCCGGTAATCCTCGGCGGCGAGATGAATTGTTATCCGCTGCTTGGGCTGATCAAGGGATAGAAAAGGGCGAAGATTAGGGATCAGGGATCCTTTAGGGATAATATACCCTAAGGCTCCATAGTAGTTCCTTTTGGGGTTTACTTTATAGGATTCTAAATACGAACCCCAAAAAGGAACTACTATGCAGCCTTAGGGTAGGGCTAAGATAGGGATCATATGGGGATCATTTATAAGGGATAATACAGGGGTAATGCAGGGATCTTAATCCTTAGAGTAGGGGTTTGGAGGGTATTGCGGTACAGAAATGATAAGGAGGCCGATTGTGTTTACCAGTTCGGAGTTTGGGGTCTGTACGATTTCGTGCCTTCGGGTTGATGGGTAGAGGGTCTGCGGAGTTTAAGCATGTGGGAATTGATGGCTTACTTGATAAGTTCAGGCTTTAGCTTCTAGAGTTTCAGGCTTCAGGGCATCAAGGGTTCCGCCTGGACTATGCTGACGGTCTGGAGCCAAGCAGCGCACTTCCTGGGTGGTGTTTCGGTGGCTGGGGACGGGTTGGTGGGTGGGTGGTGGGCGGAGCGGGTAGGCCGGTGTTCATGCTGCCGGGCCAGAGCCTATCTCAAAGACACCAAGAAGCTGAAGTCCATTGAAAGTCTTATAACCTCCGACCTAAGCCGGGTCTGTGATAGCACGATTAAAACGCGTTAACTAAGGACACCCCAGCGCAATCAAGCGTAACACAGGCTAAAGCCTAAACCCCTGACCCCTACACCCTAAACCCTGAACTCGAATACCAGGGTTTCTTTTTTCTTTTCAGTGAACAGTCGTCAAGAGTGAGCTGGACGTTCTCGCTTCTGCAGTTCGAAAGGCCCAGTGCACTTAAAAAAAGAACTCGAATACCAAAGCAACTTGGTGCCTGGCCTTCGCGTTCCCCCCTTGGATGCACAGATAACTGCCACTTCGCATGTGAGGGGTCGGTGCTGCTGTTGTACAGGATTCCCTACGGGTCTATGTGCATGTGCCCAGATGGTTTTGTCTTTGGCCTTAAAGTACCCACATAGGCTAGGGATTTCTTTCAGGCCAAAGTATATACTATATCGATGCACGGAATGGAGGGGTATGCGATTGGGTGTCATGTCGGATACCTGGGTATAAGAATCTCGAAGAGCCGTGCCATCTCGTTCACTGCAGGTTCCCACACAATGGCAGTTTCCGCCTACCCAGGACGGGCCTTCGCATAGGTGCCGCCACACGATCATCCAATTGCTCCAACTGCTGAAGCATCTATACTGATCTTGTCGACTGCCTGTTGCAGATATTGCCTGACATCCCTGCGGCATCCCACAGTCACACCCTGAGAAGCGCACGTGCGACAGGAGGAAGCCGGCGCACGGCAACCTGAACACGTCCTGGGTCTATCGAATTCCGCGCACGGCACACTTCGAGCTCAAGCCTGAGGCCAAAGCTGCCCGGGCTGCGAAGCATCTCGTCGGTGGAACTGGTTGTACAAATTAGGATTCAAGCTTTCGCGCAGTGAAGACAATCGACGGCGGCATGGACACTTCTGCACCCCCAAAACCGAACCTAAACCCTCCATCACAAGCGTCAGAACACTGAACCCTAGACCCAAAAAGCATAGCTGGACACTTGCAGGCCCTGAAAGCAAACCCTGTAGGGTTTTGGGGCCCATTCTACTGTACTTAGAATAAGGAGCCGCAAAAGTAGTACAGGTAATTATTAAGGTCCCCTACAGAATCTCTCGTCGGCTCGTTTCGTTTCGCAGCCCCTAGTCTTCCGGACAGTTTCTGGAGTGGTTGATGAGCTAAGCCAGGATTACCTGGACCCCAACAGTATGGAGAATAATAGCCTTTTTATGGGTTTTGGGCCATAACTTTACCTACCTTGGGGGGGTTTAGGTAGGCACAGTCTTTTGATCTGCGAACGTGGATTTAGCGCAGAGACTTCGACCATGAATCATTGCAAAAGCAGTCCCGGAGAACTCGACGAACTGATGTCGTGAACATGAAGGCCACTAACCTTGGAAACGCGTGCCTCAGGTACTATCCTTCGAGATCAAGGCCCTCGGGCACGATCGGTGCTGCCGAGGCAACGACGTCCATGGTTCGAGTACCATTTGCCCTCACGACAGGCAGCTTCCTTCCGTAAGTGATAAACTGAAATGTTAAAGTTCCAAGATAACCTCTTTCCAACGCCGCCTCATTTCACCGTCAATCCTTTTTACACATCAGCCTTAAACCCAAAGCCCAAAAATCATGGCAGCTCAGATTTCTCGGGCAAGTCTGATGATGTCCGTGCCCTTTAGGCCCTCACGCCTAAATCGCAGCACGGTTTCAGGGCAATGTGAGCTGTAAATGCTTCAGATGTCGACATAGGCCCTGCAGGTGAAGAACGAACTCTGGATGGGTGTAAGGTGTAAGGTTTATGTAAGGGTTTAGGGCGTAGGGTTGGGGGGTTTAGTTTCTGGGAGGTTAGGGTTTATAAGGGTTTGAGGTTCAGAGGTTCCGGGGTTTTGGGCAGGGTACCGTATTTTTTTTGTCATTTTTTCTGGTTTTGTCTGTCTATTTTTCTGGTTTTCGGTTGAACGCAAACGAAAGAAAGAAGGAGAGAAACGGAAGCCAGAAAGAAAGAAAGGAGCCAAGAAACAAACAAAGAAAGCAAGAAAGGAAGACACCAGGAAGAGGAGAAATAAAGAAAGGACGAAGGACAGAAAGACAGGAAGGAAGGAAAGAAGGACGACAGAAAGAAAGAAAGAACGAAGACGGGAACAAAGGAAGAAGGCAAGAAAGCAACACACCAGAATGGGGAGAAAGAAAGAAAGGAAGGAAGGACAGAAGGACAGACAGAAGCAAGGAAATAAGAACGCAGCAAAGACAGAGAGACAGAACAGAAGAAATGAATATCGAAAGACAGAAAGCCAGCAAGGACGACCAGAAGGAGTGTTAGAAAGAACGGAGCAAAGAAAGAACCCAAGAACGAAAGCAGGATAATTAGACAGCAAGAAGCAAAGACCAGAGACCCCGCTGTTTTGAGCTGTGTGCAAGCTTGCTTGACAGCATAGACGTCGTTCTGGAAACCCACCCTGCATAAAATGTAAGTCTTCTTGAAACAATGCCATTCACCATGCAAAGAGTCTCTTTGCAAATGGGAAGCCTGCCCCGGGCGTGCGAGAGTGCCGAGCTTGCTTGACAGCATATATGCGTTTTGTTGAAAACCCCACCATGCGAGCATCCTCATGAACTGCCCCCCTAAACCGCCCCGCCGCATAGATTTTGTTGTAAACCAGACATGCGAGCATCGTGATTGCAAATGGGGGGGGGCTGCGCCCCCCCCAACCCCCCCGCTGTGTAAGCCGTGTGCCAGGTTGCATGACAGCATAGGAGTCGTGACAGCACATATGCATGTTTTTACCAACCACGCGAGCATCATCCCTGCAAATCGGGGGGCTGCAACCCCCCAACCCCCCCACTGCTTTAAACCGTGTGCAAGCTCGCGTGACCGCAGCTTTGCTTGACAGCAGATATTCTTGTTTAAAACCAACCATGCGTGCATCTTGATTGCCGCCCTTAAACCCCCCCGGCCGCATGCGATTTGCGGTATACCAGCCATACGAGGATCGTGATTGCAACTGGAAGGGGTTGCCCCTCCCCAACCCCCCCGGCTGCTATAAGCCGTGATTGCATGACAGCATAGCAGTCGATGCCTAGGATATCCTAGGATGAATCTTTTACTTAGAAGCAGCACCCTTCACCTTGTGAAAAGTGTGATTGCAATTGGGAAGCATGCGCCGGGCGTGCGAGAGTGGCATGCTTGCTTGACAGCACATACGCGTTTTTTTACCAACCATGCGAGCATCATGCTTGCTAATGGGGGAGGCCGCGAGCCGGAATTCCCCAATAGCTTGACGCAGGAAAACAAGCTCGAACACTGTTGACGCACAAGCAAACCCTGAACAAACTACACTCCCGCGACAGCTTGACGCACAAACAAACCCTGCAAACTAGAATCCCCCCAATAGCTTGACGCACAAACGAACCCATATCCCGCCAAACCTTTTAAACATAACCTGGCCGCCAAACCTTAAAGAAAAAGACTCCACCCAGCAGCAACAACAACATGAACACCAAGAGCAGTAGCAACACCAGTAACAAATAACACCAAAAGGCATGCAACCACAACGAGAACAACAGGAAGAACAGCAACAACAACGACACCACCAGCAGCAAAATGCAACAACAGCACCAACACCAGCACCAGCACCAACACCACCACCAACAAGCAACAACAACAACATCAACAACAACACTACTACTACTACTACTACTACTACTACTACTATTACTATTACTATTACTATTACTATTACTATTACTATTACTATTACTATTACTATTACTATTACTATTACTATTACTATTACTATTACTATTACTATCCTATTCCTATTCTTATTCCTATTCCTATTCCTATTCCTATTCCTATTACTATTACTGCTGCTACTACGACTACTACAACTACTGCAACTACCACTACCACGACTACTACAGCTACAACTACAACGACAACAACATCAACAACATCATCAACACCAGCAGTAACAACAACACCACGAAATCCGTACAAAATGCGACAATGCACGGAAAAGCCGATTTTCCCGAGGAACAACCAAGGTAACGTATGTTTTCCTGCTGAAAACCTAAGGAAACGACACGGAAGCCGTAGGAAAACAGTGTTTTCCCTACGAAAAACCAAGCAGGCGTCTCTCCACCCAGACCGCAACCGCAGAGTCTTAGAGTTTCAATCCAGAAGCTTCGCGGATGCTATAAGCGCGCGGGGCAAAAAAGAAGTGTGAGAGACACTGCAGCATTGTGGCAGGAGCTTCTGACAGTCCAGCAGCTGCCGCGAGACGAGCGAAGAAGTTTGGGAAGCTTTGAAACCGAAAAACCCACAAAAATCCTGACAAAATACGCAAGGAAGAATTCCAGTCAGAGGTGGAGAACGGTCACGGCCACCAGGCTAGATTCCGAAAGCCAAGGAAAGCATAACTAAAACCAGGAAAATATACAAAAAAAACCAGAAAATACACAGAAAAGAACTCCAGTCAGAGGTGGAGAACGGTCACGGCCACCAGGCTAGATTCAGAAAACCAAGGAAAACATAACTAAAACCAGGAAAATATACAAAAAAAACCAGAAAAATAGACAAAATAAATACTCGCTCCGTTTTGGGCATTCAGGGTTTAGGGTTTTAGGTTGCAGGATTGAGTTTCGGGGTTGAGGGTTTGGAAAGGGTCGGGATTTAAGGTTCGGGGTCGATGCTGGCCTATCGACACGAGAGATGCCTACCAAGATGGTTGTGGCATGCATCTACTGGCATCGCTAGCAGCTAGCAGTGCCTGGAATACTGGTGAGCCGTTGCAAGAGAGCAGCTGAAGCTTGTTTTGCAACAAACGACGAACACCCCCAAACCCTAAACCGTGTTGTGCCCTTAGAGTACTTCGAGGCCCAGGGGGCTTAGCAAGTAGGTTTTACATAGGGTTGTAAGTATCCTAAATGGAGTTACCCCAAGTATAACCCTAGAGAATCCGGTTTACTCAGTTCTCTGGGCTTCCAAGCAGAGGGACGAAGGTCGAATCTGTGTCAAAGCCCACTTCGAGCGCAGCAGGTTTGCCAGGAGTGGCTTCGGCAACATGCTGATACCTTCGTAGCAGCGGCTGGGCTTTGGGTGCTTCAGAGTGGGTGTTGCGTCAAAAATCCGGATAGCAGGGTCTAAGCTTCAGGGTTTCTGAATTTCTAGTATTGCAGCACATTCATGGTTCTCAGTTCGATGTTATGTGGTTTTGCTGAATAAGGTTGCTGTGCTTGGATGTTGTGTACTGGAGTTTGGCCGACCGTGTCTACGGAACAGCAGCTACTGCCCGCTTGGCATACTTGGGCCGGCATCATGTGTTGCGATGAAGCATCGTTCAACAGGTTCAGTTTTTTGGCGTGTGCATAATAAGGGCTACAGCCTCTGTCTTGGTCGGTGCACGGAAGCCATCCGGGAGCTTGTGTGAGTAGTCTACGATGTGCTGTCGCTGTGCAAATGATGCTGCCCTATTGTTCGGTCTGGTGCCGGAAGTAGCTGCACATAGCTGCACGATTGTCATAGCGGGGTAGTAGTTCCAGTCTTCGCAGCATGTGTCACCGACTGTTGGGCGCGATGATACTCTGAGTACCACCCAATGCATTTACATCCATGTGTGTAATATAGTTGTTATGCTTGTACCTGGTTGTTCTGAAATGCGCATGCATAGATGTGTTTACTGTGCCACTGTATACCCGAAGCCCGAGGCATGATGGCAGAGACGCCGTATGGACAACCATCTTAGCCATGCAGAAGTTCGGGCCTGTCACCGTCTAGTACCATCACCCCCCGCAATCTTCGAACCGAAGTGATTACGAGTCCTCCGGAAGATGTCTCGCCTTGGTGCTACTTTCGGGTCAGGACCGGCAGCGGCACGTTTTTCCCTTCGTGACGCTTGGATGTGCACAGGGTAAAGCCTCAAGCCAAACGGTTGGGTGATGTCCACTGTAGGAAGGAATCTTGCTAGTGTCCTGTTTTTGTGATATGAGTCCTAAAGCGATCCGTTCTGCAGGTTCAAGGTGCCATAGCCGGATGACTAACAAGATCCCCTGAACCGTTTCTTTTCGGCTTGGGAGCCCGGGTCACAAGCTTGAACATCCTCTCGAACAAAGGCCGCTCGTTCGAGAGAGGTCGGCTCTTTCCCAACCAACGGAGACCATGTAGAACAGGACGAGTTTCCAAAGTTCACCATGTTGGATCGGTGGTGTATCTCTAGTTACTTATCGACTCTCCAAAATGAAAGACCATTGGATTCGTTGCCGTGGAGTGCATCGGTGACAAGGGTGATCTTGATTGGAGAAAGCGAATGTGGCCGATAACGATGATGATGAGGATGATGATGAGTATGATGGATTACAGCATGACCATGGTGACGATGTTGAGCTCCTTTATCCTTGATGGCCCTGCTCCCATGTGCGAGGAATGGCGGGGCCCAAGTGGGACGCGCCTCTGCGATGAAGAGGCGCAGCTGACGAACCATTGTGCAGGGCTATCCGGGCTCGTCGTTCGAACCAACCTGCAATTGAAAAGCAACACATCACGTGGCCTCTTGTATGCCCAGAAGGCAGTCAACAAACATTCGCTGACGGTTCAAGGGGCAGGGCCTTCATGTTCAGTGTGAGGACATGTTCGACGTTTCTTCTTTGCGCTGCACCATCCCCCCCTCAAAAAAACCATCAAAAAAAGCAGGAAAACGGAACGTCTACTCTTGAGGCTGTGGTGGCGGACGAGGACTGCAGTCTGCAGCGGGTCCGATTTCGGGTTAGGGTAGGAACTTGAAAGTAACGCTTTTGGTAACCTTCAAGAAAATTTCTGTTTCAATTTCAAAGAAGATCGGTGTCCGGAGTTTTCTTCGGGTTTTTGGGGTGTTGCGTTTGGTGTCCTTGTTCTTGGGGTGAAAAGTGGGATTCCAGTTTCTGGGAGCTTTCAGGTATGCTTCTGTCCACAACCTCGTTCAGGGTTGTATGCTTGTTCGGGTTGGAGAACCGCTGCTACGGTTGAAGGTATAGATCCTGCATTACCTTAATGACCTTAGACTATGGGATTTATGGTCTATTCCTTATTATGGGTAATGCAGGGTTTATATCATCAACCGTAGCTCCTAAGCCTATGGTCTTTGGCAACTAGGAGGTTGGTTGCAGTCTCAGGAACATGTCAGGGCTTTGCCAGCTTTTGGAAATAGGCCAAGGCTACCCCACAAGAGGACAAGAGTAATCCTCAACCCTGAACGCAGATCGGAAACCCTAAACACGAGTCTCCGCGAATCGACTTAATGCTTAAATGGAAGCTGTTTAGTCGTCAGGTGTCTCGCTTCGTGACAGTCCGCGTGACCGATTGCGGAAACCTGAATTTCCAAACCCTAGAGCTCGGCTACCCATAGGCTACATAGTAGTTCCTTTTGGGAATACCCTATAGGATTCCAAATATAAACCCCAAAAAGGAACTCTACTCTGGAGCCTTTAGGTAGAAGCAGGACACTCTATCGGCAAACTGGTGAGACGGACAGCCAAGCGCTGCTTCAGCTAGTATCTTTGGCACAACCCAGACTGCGGATTCTAGGTTGAGGTTTACTTGGAGGTCCAGGGGTAGTTGTAAGTAGGGTAACTATACTTATAACCCATATTAGGGGGCTTACAACTCTACTTATAACTACCTATGAACCTCCAAGTAGGGGATAGGTTTTATAGGGTTAAGAGAGTGACGTTGGTAGGCCCTGTGGTTTCAGGACTTAGTTACGAAGCAACATTGGGAGATCTCCATGTAGAGAATGCCCGCTTCGAAGCCTTCTGACTGTAGTATGGGGCTGTAATTTCCGCTGCAGCTGGGAATCTGAAGACAGAGGAAATTGTGCTCGAAGCTTTCGCATCGGAACCCATAAGGCTGCTGGGATGCGATATCTAAAACCGCATCCATTTCGATTCGGGTGATGCTTCCGGCTTAGTTGTTTTGTGCTGCGCTCGGGGGTCTTCTGCGCCGGCATTACGGCACAGACAGCTTGCACATTTGGGGTGCCTTGAGGGATGCCTTATTTCAGTTTCTATAGGGGTTCTACATCTATCCTCAAAAGGGGTGTCTTGTTTCAGGTTCTACAAGGTTTCTTCATCCATTTCTAGGGCTCTTGGGCTTAGGCTTTTGGTAGGTTCTATAAGGGATCTACATCTATTTATAGGGCTCTTGGGGGGAGGATTTTCAATCATCCCGCCAAGGTCCTCCTGGAGCACCCTGAGCTTGGCATGGCAGCTGGACTTCCCACATTATCATGCGTTCCATAAAGGGTTCCTTTAAGGGTTCCTAAAAGGGATCTGTAAGGGTTCGTAGGGGATTGTAGGGTTTAGTTGGTTTATAGGGTTTCCATTGTAGTCCACATTATGATGCGTTCCATAAAGGGTGCCTTTAAGGGTTCCTAAAAGCGATCTGTAAGGGTTCATAGGGGATTGTAGGGTAATTAGTGGGTTTATAGGGTTTCCTGTGTAGCACTGTTCTTGGGGTTGCCTTATATAGGATCCTGGCTATAAGACTGGGTTAACCAAAAAAGGGAACTTCAATGGAAACTATAGGTATGATTTCGGGAAAGCAAGTCCGAATCCCTAAACCCGAACCCCTTCAGCCCTCATCCCTAAACCTTATAATACCTAAACCCTAACAACAAAGCTCTAAAACCCGAAGCCCAAAGCCCTGATCCCTAAGCTCTATAATCCCTAAACCCTGATCCCTATAAACCCTCAACATGAATCCCGAACCCCGTAAGCCCCAATCCCTATATAATCCCAAAACGTGAATTTTGAAGCCCCCAGGCCCCAATTCCTTTCTTCATCTCAAAACGTGAATTTTGAAGCCCCTGGGCCCAAAACGACTGAGGTCGATTTTTCGGGACGGCTCTTCCTGGCCCTGCATGGCCACGGCACGGAAGACCTTGAGCGAGAGCTCTGCAACTCAGCTTATAGGGTTCCTTAAAGCGTTCCTTGGGGGTTCCTTTAAAGGTTTCCTTAAAGAACTCAGCTTATAGGGTTCCTTGAGGGCTTGTTGTTAGGATTCCTTTAAGGGTTCGTAGTTCCTTTAAGGGTGTCTCTTAAGGGTCTCTTCTGACGGTCCTTTAAACGGTTCCGATGGGGTTTCCTTTAAGGGTTCCTTCGAGGGTTCCCTCAGGGTTCCTTACAGGATTCCTTACAGGGTTGTCTTTAAAGGGTTTAGGGTTTATGGTTCCTTTGAGGGTTCGTTAAAGGGTTCCTTTCAGGGTATGTTCTACCTTACACGGTTCCTTTAGGGTTTCCTTTAAGGCTTCCTTTAGGGGGTTCCTTTTTAGGGTTTCTTCTAAGGATTCCCTAGAGGGTTTCTTTGAAGGGTTTTTCAGGGATCCTTGAAAGGGCTCCTTTTGGGGATCTGTAGGGTTTAGGTTTAGTGCTTTAGGGGTTTGGGTGTAGGTGTTTCAGGGCTTTGAGGGCTTTGGGTTTTAGGACTTATTGAGTTTTGTTTTTGGTGTTTCGGAGTAAACGTATGTATAGATTATGCATGAAGTAGGGTTTAGATTCGGGAAGTGGTGAGTGTATATAGGGCTGCTTCTGCAAATTGATGAGTGTAAGTTTGTGGTGTTTATCACGGGGAGACTAGGACTGGGAACAATGGAAAAGCGTCACATGGGGATGCCTTACTAACTATTCGACCCGTATCCCTGAGCCCCACACCCTGAACTCGAAAGCTAGGTGTAATGCTACGGGGCGGCTTTCTGGTGGGGTTCTTGCTTGTTGGCTTGAGGGTTCAATCCGCTTCAATCTTCAATCGCAAAGCCCTTACTTTCTCTTTTCCCTCAATTCAGAACTCGAAAACCCAGAACCATCACCCCGCACTAGGCACGGACGATTACTTCGTTCCACGTGGCCGCCAAAGTGCGGTTGCAGTCCCGGCTTACCTCCGACGCTTCTCGACAGCAAGTCTTTCTGAAACGTTTGCCCCGAGCTTCCAGGGATGGGATATCTAAGTAGACTAGGTCTACTAACTGCTGAAGCACCTGGACATTGGGGTTGTTCGTAACGCCTTGTGGGAAGGGAAAGAGTTGAGTTTGGAACAAATCTGGTATTTTCGGGACCATGTGCATGACATGCTTTACTACAGAATATCGAAGCTTGGTTGACCTTTGGTTTGGCTCCGGCATCGAAAACATCCCCCTCGCCACTCGCGACCAGACTTCCCTACCCGAAACTCTAAACCCCTAAACCCAAAACGGTTTCTACTGCCTCCAAACTGACCTAAACTGCCCACAGTCTGCTAGCAATCCCCGGTTTCTCACCACTGTCGCGGCTCCGGACCTACATGCAGGTTCATGGCGCCGTTTTAAGACCCCGAAGATGGGTTATGGATACTTATATACCCCCGCGATAGAACTACCCATGAACCTCCAAGTGAGTCTGAGGTTTCAACAACCTCTACCCGCCGCCGCTCCGACGCCGCAGTGCCGACGAGCCTCCTGTTCGAGCCTTATAAGGGCGCCGGGGTGTATACCGGGGTACCTTGTAAGGCTCAGGGACTATATAGGGTCTACAGTTGGATGGTCGGCCCAGTGTCAGGCACACTCAGACAGCAAGGAAGGGGGTTAGATGATCCATCTCTCAGGACATGCAGGTCGTAGAGTGCGGGATTACATCGTTTTCTGCTGGGTTGAAGGCTCAAGGTATGGAGCGTACCGAAGTACATCCTCTTCTGCTGGGCCACCGTCTTGAACAAAACACACGACGCAGAATTACAGCTGCGGACCTGCTGCAGGTGGCGCTGCATTTCAACGGTATCGTGGCAGCCAGCAGAACATTGCATTCTTGTCGGGAGCTTCTTTCGGGACGATTTTGCCGAAACACAGCTGGCCGGCAGGGCACCGCATACTCTCAATGTCCAGCAGAGCAAAGCCATGTGTCACAGCATGTTTTTCTCAAAGCCATGTTTTCAATAATTACACTTGAGGTGTTTAATTAGTGGTGCTGTTCTTGCGCCTTAGGGCTGCAGGGGTTCATGGGGGGTATTCTTCTAAGGCTAGCTTCCCACTGCTTCCTGGTTCGTGACTTTCGTGACATGCTGTCGGTTTGGAGCTGATTGGGCTACAGATGAAAGTAAGCCAACTTCCTCATCTTCAAGCCGTGAGCCCTGCAGCCAGAACACAGTTGAGTCAGATGCATCATCGTAAATGAAGGCAGCCTGAAACCCCTATACTCGTCGGCCAAACTGGCTCATGGCTTCCGAACTACTAGACGAAGCAGATGCGTTAGTGGCCATTTCCCTTACTTCCTGGTTGCCTACATGTGCATATGAAATAACATGCATCTGCCTGTGTGCCGATAAGGAGATATTCGGTCCAAGTTCATGGCGCCGGAAGTTCAATGTCACGTTTTCTGCCGCCACATGCTAGCTAAACTGCAAGTTACGCAGCATGTTGTAATCTATCGGGGCTTCATGAGTCAGATTCCCCATCCTAGAACATGACACTCACATCAACACGGAGATGTCATGGCTTCCTCTCCGAGGCAACGGAAAGCGTTTCCTTCGCCGGTGCTGCTGGACAGCACTCGCTCTGTTTCAGGTTCGACAGGATTTAGGCAGTGTAGGGTTTGCATGGGCTGTGCCATCTGACGCTTTGGTTTACATGTGTGGAGATCTCAACCAGCATTTCAAGCTAACATCATTGCAACTTGCGAATGTTAGCAGTGCTGTTGCTGGCAGACCTTCATGCGCCCAGCTGGTAAGTTTCGCTGACTACAGTCCCTGGTGTGGAAGGAACGTTCCCTAATGAGTGGTCCACGTTAAATTAGGCATCAGGGTTCACAAGGTTGAGGGTTTAGGCCTTGCTCAAACCCATGCGCTTCATGCGCTGACTCTCGCCCTCCTTTTCCAGATTTTACCAGCAACGGCAGAATTACCAACGTTCGAAGCATTGCCTATAGTCTCTATTGTACTTCCTTTTCGGAGTCACCTTATAGGAAGCTTAATATATTATCGGCTTAACCAAAAAAGGAACTACAAAGGATACTACATGTAATTAGTATTGTCTTCGAGCCGAATAACACCACTTTACCCTAAGGCTCCATGGTAGTTCCCATTGGGGATTGCCTTATTATAGGATTCGAAATACGAACGCCAAAAAGGAACTACTATGGAGCCTTAGGGTAGGCCGCTGTAGGCCATCACTCTTCCCCTGGATGCACCTCAAAAACAGAGCTGCTCTTTCCAAGAGGGTCCACATACGCTACTATTATGGAAGTAGGCCCCCAGAACCATAAAAGCGTCAAAAGGCGACATGCGAATCCGACAGCGGGTTGTTAGGCAGGAAGGCCTGCCCCTACTGCCTCCATTGTAACATATGGCTTGAGTAAACAATTAGAATAGTTTTGGGAGCTATTATACTCACTATATAGGCGCTAGAACCAACCGGAAGTTCTGCTAATCATAGGGTCTGTTGGATCCGCAAGAAGAGGCTTGAACTTCTTTCGCCAACGGCTGCGAATTGATGGACCTCGCATCTTGGCAACGGCTGCCATGTTTGAGGGACTCTCATATTGAATACTGAGTCATCAGTAGCATCACAATAACAACAACAGGCAAAGCTTTATGGATGCACCATTTACGATTTCGCACCATAGGGCCTGGGCACTTGGGCTTGCTTGACACACGTCAGTTTGCCTCACCTTTGAAAGAGGCTGCCCACTAGCAGGGGTCCCACACCGTTGAGCTTCTGGTAGATCTCCACGTTCATTTGTTTCCCTCGTGTATGTTTGGAAACCTATGGGTACTTGGACCCTTCGAACTCGAGGACCAGAGCACCGCATTCTTGGAGCTTTTTTCTGGTGCTTCAGTGGGAGTGGGAGAGCAACATTCTCGGTATAATCTCTTTTAGTGGTCCTTATATTCCTTCCTTCACTCTTCCGAGCACTGGTACGTAGTAACTGTTAGAGCTTTCGTCGTCCTCGGTTTGAAGGAGTCAACAGCGAAGGCTGAGAAGTCTTGATATCGAACAAATCCAGGGCTCGAAGCCACCATGTGCAAGCACTCGACCGAAGCATGCACTGCTTACACGCATGCACCTTCTGAATAGCAGTTCGATGGGTTATGTTGAGAGGTAAAGCACAGTCAGGGCTCCTAAGGTAGAGGCCCTGCCTTGCATTCTACTATGCAGGTGCTCAGGATCTGTTGAGAAGTTGATACAGTTGAGTTGTTGTGAGTGCTCGTATGGACCGTGGTACAAGTGACAGATGGCCAGCTGAACTCAGCAAGCGAAGCTTGCACCAAACTCTGTGAGATGCACTTGTGGCCAAGGAATTGGGCGCCATGGCTTCGATCGAGCACCGCTGTCATAGAGTTATTTCAAACATCGTCTCAGTCAGATGCATCAGATGTCCTTGAACAGTGATGCTGTTGGGCTTTATGCTAGGGTCTTCATCCGATTTCCATCGCCATCACTTTCAGCAGCAGAGGCAACTTCTACTCGCTGCTGAAAGCATGTCCATTGGCTTGAAAAGCAGCCGAAACAACCACAGAATCACCACCAGCAGATTAAGAAACAAATGCAGTTTCCTCAGAATCACCGTCCGCAGAGTCTACAGTCGAAGTCAGAAGTGACACCACAGATCAGATCGGTCATGCGGTCGACCGCAAGCAGGAACACAACAGCAACGCATCGCCGACACGGCCCAGCACCATGAGCCCCACGAATAACACGGTTGAAGGTTTAGGGTTTAAGGTTTAGGGTTTAAGGTTTAAGGTTTAGGGTTTAAGGTTTAGGGTTTAGGGTTTAGGGTTACTGCGAAGGGAAGCCGGAAGACAAACTCCTAAAAGCATTGGCAGCAACAACAGCGGCACGGCAAGCAGCACCACAACTACTGTACCAGGTTACTACCACTGCCCAGCATTCCTGCCGGTTCCTACACGGGACCGAGGATTGTAGGCTCTGTCAGATGATCGAGGGAGTTTGAGTGTTTAGAGGCCCTGAAAGCGGATATCTAGCTGTGTTGCTGCTTTTGCTCTCAGGCCCCATGGTTACGGCTAATTACCTGGTTTGGAGATGCACATAGACTTTAGGGTTTAGGGCTTAGGGTTTCTAAACTGACTGCATATGTCAAGCCTGCAGACCCTTCCACTGCAAACATGAAGCTGAAAACCGCGTGAACACCGCCCATACGCAAATCCTGCTTTGAGCCCCATTTTTCAAAGTGTACCCGACTGGCCACGACTGCCTGCGACTACGCACCCAGGTGCTCATTTTTCGACCAAGACTCTGAGATGTGGTTTCGCTTTGGCTGAAAAAGGGCACGTCGCTCGCTACGTGTGCAGGTCTACATGGTTGCCAAGAAACATGTGTAGCACAAGAACTGTTACTGTAAACCCTCGAGAGAGTTCGGCCAACTCTGGTTCGCTGCTTTGCATTTCCGGAACCTTTTAGGTTGTTTCTGCTGAGGGTCTAGTCCCTAAGGGTCCATGTGCCTAAATAGTGTATACATTGGCCTTAAAACAGTATATACATAGGCCTTAAAGTAGTCCCTATATAGGTACATTGGGGCCAAAGTATATACTATGTGGGTACATGGACCCTTAGGGAGTTTGCATTCATAGAGAACTGTCAGGGTGAGAATGAAGTTCGAGAGTTGACGCTTGAAGCGGGAGCCTGAAGAACTAGTGGCAGAAGAAAGCTCCCTAGGGTTCCGATTAAACATATGTTTGTGTATACGTACATACATGCCTGCTTGCATTCCGGCCGGCGGGCCTGCTACTGTCCTCGGTTTAGGGTTTAGGGTACAGTACCTGCTTGCATGCATGCATACATTCTTACATACACACAGTCTGACATACACATGCACACACATAACGATATACAATGTAATCATTAACATAAGTTAACATGCACGTATGCATATTGTCTGTTGTTAGAAAGCAGGCAGCACACGCAAGCAACTTAAAACCTTAATCCCTAAACTCTCCAGGGCCTATGTGGTTGAAGGTTGGCCCTGCTGTTCGATGCCTGAGGATCTCTCCTACAACGGCTTTGACGCCGAGGCAGGGGGCTCCCAAGAGGACTTAGGTTATATGGGTTTAGGGGTTTGGAGGTCAGGATGTCGTTTCGCGTGCAATGCTTCAGGGCTTAGGGGGGCTGCCGTATGGAACAAGGGTTAAGGAAAGGACCAATAAGGTTAAGCGAATTTAGGGATGTGGCTTGGAGAAGTTGTGCTTTGAAGTGTGAGCTTGCCCCAGTACCTAAATGTCCCCTTACTCACGCTTCCGGGTTTTGTTCTCGCGCCTTGCTAGGACGCTGGTCTTGTTGCCGCTGCGACATGCAGAGTTAGTGGGGAGTTTGTTCGGTGACCGCAAGCCCGCCGGCATCGCTCCAGGTTTTGGGGGTTGCGGTTGAGGGATAACGCTCGTTTGTAAGCTCCAACGACTTCTGTCGGCCTTTGGGCTGGCAGGGTATTCTCAGTATTTCAATCAAGTTCAATTACCCATGCTTTCGTCTACTGTCCCAATATATCCATAGCATCGCAATAGAAGTAACTGGTACGGTCACTGGGCTGCTAGGGAAGGCTTGAATCGTAGCTTTGCAAGCCTGTTGCTCCCACAAGTGAAGCTTTGGCTTCAACCTGCGTCCTACATCTAACCTGAGCCAAAAACCCAAGCAAGCTCAGCAAACCATGACATGAAGCTGCATCCTCGACTTGCTGAGAAATCCCCTGACCTGAAGCCTTGCACCCAACCTAAAGAAGCCTAACGAATCCCTCGCATGCAAGGTATTTAACACGGGCCCCAAAATCCAACATTCCACCCTCAACCCTAAACTGCCCTAAACCCGAGTCTGTAAAACTGCCCTGAACCCGAAACCCTAAACCTTAAACTGCCCTAGACCCTCAATGTCAAGCCTATAAACCCCAAATCTAGAATCTGCAACCGCCTCAATACGAGGACTGCGGGATTCTAGCGGCGGGCCTTGCCAAGAACCAGACCCTCTTCGGCCCCGTCCCCGTTGGCAGTCATACGCATAGATGCGGATGTGCGGCTGTAGGTGTAGCCGGAGATGTGGATAAAGCTTCGTACATCATGCACAGTTAGAATGCATTTGCACACATGTAAGCATGTATGTATGCATAGTTATGCTTAGAGCTAGACCGTTCACAACTCAGCGAGATCCTTGTCAGAACACCTGTGCCGATGCTATTGTGATAGTGACCCTCAGAGGAGTTGGGGGGAGGGGGCCCTATAGCAAAGGTATTAAGGCCCAAACCCCGTCCCCCCCTTAACCCCCCTAACAGTCCCTATGATGTTGTGATAGTGCCTGCATGCACGGTCGTTGGATGCACCAGCTCCCCTGCGCCCTGGTTCTGAAGCTTTCGGGTTGAGAGTTTAGGGGTTTATGGGTTTAGGGTTTGGGATTTTCGGGTTTAGGCTTTAGGGTTTATGGGTGTAGGTTTTAGGGTTTATGGGTTTAGGCTTTAGGGGTTTATGGGTGCAGGGTTTAGAGGTTAAGAGTTTGGGCTATGATGAGCTTAGATATATTTATACACGAAAACGTCACAGACATGTGCACTCTTGATTTTACTGCAAATTCGAGAGTTTTGCAGCTCAGACAAGAGAGACTAGACCTCACCATCCCCCCGTTGTTCCATAGTATAGACACATTGTATAGTTGATTTATAACATACAACATATAGTGTATACAGTAATATACAGTACATAAATCCTTGTCTTGGAGTGCTCCAGCCGTCGGAGCGATGCAGCACTTGCGCGAGTAGCCTGCGGTGAGGTGCAGAGCCCAGGTGAAGGACGTTTACAGCCGTATAGGGTTTATGGGGTTCATAGGGCTTAACAGGAACTTATAATGATCTTTTAGGGTTTATATAGGGTTTAGGGTTTAGCGTCTTAGCAACTGCCCAGATCCCATGATGTTGATCGATGTTCGGTCATGGAGCGTGTCATAGGCTTGAATTGCGTTCTTGAGTTTCAACCTCTCCGAACAGGATTGGGAGGGCATGTCTCTGGTGTTCAGGGGGTGGGGCATTTTTGTGGGGATGACCAGGCTTCGTGGGTATGGTTGGGAGATCTCGCAGCGCAGAGTTTTTGGTGGCGGTACAGACGACGCAAGATAGACTCCACAGCCGAATTCCGCGTCTCCCAAAAGCAGCAAGCCCGCTGTAGACACAACATAAATTAAATGTAACATTCAAGGAGATTGCCTCGTATGGCTTCCATGCTGAACTCATGGCTATTGCTACTTGGATTGTCCACTCTGCCTTTCTTGCCGGTAAGCGGCAACTTCAACAATCAACAGAGTCACAACAAGGAAAACAACGACCACAACCGTGATAGAGCTTAGCAAAGTTGGTTTTGCGGCTAGGCATATTAATAGCGAGAGAGGCGGTCTCCCACTTCGGCTTTTCTTTTGTAGAAAGTCGAATGTACCTATCATGCTTGCAACCCTAGTAGGATCCCGAAACCCTAAAACTGAGCGCCGACCTGCGTCAGCCTCAGGTGCTCATTTCCGCCTGCGGCAGTGCCATCGCGGAGGTTTAGGGTTTAGGGTTGCGAAGCAGGCCCACCGAGAACATCTGCGCACAAAGTCTCGATGTTTTGTAACCGAAGATCCGCACCGAGAAGCATTCCGGCCTGTAAAGCCGCCGGCCATAGCGCTTTGGACAGGCTTGCCACGGTCCGCGAGCCTGCGCTGCCGGGATGACGGCGTGCTCGTGGACCCGCCATTTTGTGAAGTTGATGTGAGGAGAGGGACTGTGGGGCGGCATTCGTCAAGATTATCGGAGAAATATGTGAGCCCTGCTGCAGATCATGACGTCTTGATGACCATGAACACTTCGGCAGCATCTCTGGGGCTCAAGCACTTTTCCATCTGCGAAGCAGAACCGCGCCTCAGCTCAGGGTTGCCCCAACCATGACGGCGAAGATGGCCAAATCCATCAGCCAGCTATCAGTAGGCCGGGAGTTCCTCTGCTTCTTGTGTACATAGCCTCAGCCAGCCAGTCCATATCAGGCTTTCAGACGCGTTGTCGCCTTCCAGTTGCGGAGCCTCATATCCTTGTATCGTCAGGCCAGAAAGTCACTGCGATCGTGAACAAGCAGGACAATTTTCATGATTTGGCCGTTGGATGCCAGGAAAGTTCTGACATTTAAGACTTGTACAGGTTCAGTGTAGGCTGTATCTTTAGGTGGCTTCGCAACTTCGGTATACTTGTAGATCGATCCTCGCCAGATCCGCCCAAGCAGAGGAGGAGAAGACGGGCATCATCCGCTTCCTTGGCACCACGAGCTTCTCCGAGGGGGAGTGGGTCGGGCTGGAGCTGGAGGAGCTCCCGGGATTTCGGGAGGAATCGGTAGTTGCATGTGACACTGTCTACCTGTTCAGTCGTACACTGAATATATATATATATATATATATATATCTATATATATATATATATGTTTCACCGTAATTATCACAGACGTGTTTGAACACAAGAAGTGGGAGAGGGCATTGGACAGGTTCGGGCGACAATGCCTATGCCGTCTGTACAGGTTCAGGACCGATAGGACCTCGGATCGATTACATCCTGGCCCTTTGCAAACCAAGTGGCAGAAGAGCCACCAGTCTCCCCAGTCTCACTCCGCTCCTTTGTTGCAAGCCTCGTTTCGACAAGCACACATGGGAGACAACCCTTGACGACCAAATGGACTAGCCGTACCTTCGAAGCTAGCTTGGCAGGGCGTTTAATGCAGGACGATGGCGGAAAGAACGACGGCGAAGTTCGGGGCCAGCGCTATTTCACCTGCCCGCCACCTTGCATGAATTGAGGCTCCCGGTTCACGGTTTAGGGTTTCGGGTTATGGCTGAGGATGTATGTAGGGCCTATAGGGCTTTGGGTTCAGGATGGTGTGATAGGCCGGGGGAACTGCAGGCTCCGGCTCCGGGTCTCGAGCTGCGGCTGACTTGCTTTCTCCGATACGGGAAACTACGGGGTCTTTGGTAGGAAGACCCAGAAGCCTTAATGAGTCCTAGGCCGGGAACCCTGAACACGTACGATCTCAGTTAGCCTGCATCAGTTGATTTCGTGTCTTGGCCTCAACTTGCCCGATGAAGTTTGTGCTGGCCGCATCAGTTGACGCTGAAAACATAGAAGTGCAGGTCCATTTTCAGTAGAAGCTTTTCGCCAAGCGTTCCCCCTGCAACTCTCGTGTACTCTACATGTGTCAGAATCCGAGGCCCCATCGCGGCTTGTTCATGAGGCCAACGATGGTGAAACTCCCAGAGCCGTCCGGGACTCGGAAGTGGGAAGACGGCTGAGATGCAGAGGCAGAAATGACAGGATCCGCTTTGAGTGACTTCATGGGTTTCCTTTCGGTACATCCTGCCTGTCCTCCCATGCTATTTTTGTTTATGAACTCTGCGAGGCCCCAGAAGACTAGACCACAAAGGTCCATCTTGCTGGTTGGCTTTCCAGGGTGCAGCGTATTGGCGTTTTCAGACCAGCCTTCAAAACGGCTCGCAGGGTTTGGGCATCTTATCGTGATTTGGCGAAGCGACTGTGTGTCTCCGTCTGGAGGTTGTTGACTGTGACCTTAATTATGCGTGTCTCTCTGTGTGTGTGTGTACATGTACACGTTTGACTTGCTCTCTCTCTAGCTCTCTCTTTGTCTCTCTCTCTCTCTCTCTCTGTTTCTCTGCCGTTGTCGTCTTTGCCTTTCTCTCTTCCACTGTCTCTCCATGTCTCTCCCCTCCTGTCTTGCTCCTTACTTCCTGACGTTTGCTTCTTTCTTCTTTGTGTTGCAACCCGACAAGAACGAAGACGCTGTCTGGTCTTTCATCCAAAGCTTCTGCCTTTTCAAGGGCACCGACGGAAGAGGGTCAAGACGGAGAAGTCAGCCTGAGATTGCAGCTGGCAGAGGCCGGCTTTGGGCGCTGTTCCTTCCTGTAGGAGTGCTTCGAAAGCGTGAACTGTCGGGGTAAATACGAAGCATCTTGCATGTGTTGTGCTTGAAGCATCTTCCTCACCCATTTGCGTCTATATTCACTCTATATACTGCATCGTGCTGCTATTGCTAGCTGTTGATTTTCAGGCTGTCGTTGAGTTGTAGGCTTTGGGAGACCCAGTCGGCCCAAAGGCCGATGTACACTTTGCAAAGCTCGCAGCTGCAACGGCAAGCTCTGTTTGCTGAAGGCTTCAAACTCTGGCTCTGCCCAGAACAATCAAAGGCCCCAACTTTAATTAAGCGCATGAAGGCGGTGATGCACACATGGAGCCGGTGAGTTTGACGTGTCAGCACTGCTTTGTCGGAACCGCAGACCATGCAGGCGGTGGAGGAGAACAACGTGGGGGCCATTGAGGAGCTGCTTTCGAAAGCCGAAGCCGAGGGCGTCCCTCAGGACACTGCAGGGCTCGTGTATCGATTATGGAAAGTCGTTGCCCGCAGGAGCGACGGACGACTGTAGGGCTCACTGGAGTTATTGGGCGTCGGTTCCTGTTGCTGCGTTCTTGCTGTTCAGGAAGTGTTGGCAGCATGAGTGCCGATCGGAGCCGGTGTAGTTTCCCATAACGCTGAAGATTATTTACAACTGCCAGCCGCACCCTAAGGGCTAAACCCTCAATCCGAAACGCTAAACCCTCCACTCAAGGGTTTCAGTAGGGCCTCTAAGAAGCAAGCCTTCTCGACAGGAGGAGATCGATTTGGCTCAGAGGCGCCTGGCATATCTGCAAACGCGCCTTGCTTGCAGGCCATGAGCCGTAAGTCTCGGGCGGAACTCCTTCGTGTCTTATGCAAGCTTCCATGCTTGAAGCCGCCAGTCCCATGAAATAAACGGCGCATGTTCCACCTATCAACCGTATAGCTTGTTACAAATTGCACGGTCCCCGGCATGTCATGTCACACATCTCTGTGACTCTGTGTGTTCATTTCTTGTGATTTCTGCCTGGGTGTAACATCGCCCTTCCTCCTCGTACGGATACCGATGCTGCCTGCAGAAGAAGTCTAGCCGAACTCCGTCCTCTTTTTCGAAAGCCCAAGGTCCGAAATTGTCGTGGAAGACTCGGACTCGGCTGAGGAAGAGCCGCCGAAGCCGCAGCCGCAGCTCATCGACCAGCTCGGGGGCGAGGCAGCGGGGGCTCTCGTTCGCCTGCCTCCTCCTGCAAAGCTCCCGACCTCGAAGCCGCGTATAATGAGGTGTGGTTCCTTTGTCTAAGCCGAGATAGGCACCCTGAGAAGAGCCGGTCGCCCGCCTTCGGATGGAATGGTAGCAAGACGCAACGGTTGAGTTCAGGCTTTGCGGCTGTTGCATTTTTCGGTTAGTTGCAGATTGTTTCTTGAAAAGAGCGCTGTGAAGCAAGTACCAGCATCTCTTGTTGACTGTGAGAAGAGATCCCTGCCGATCCCGCCAGGAGGAGGTGAAGAAACACCAAGCAGCCTCGCGGACTCTGCAGCAGAAAGTCGTACAGATGGTCAAAGAGGGCGAGGACCTGGGCAAGAACTAAAACTTCGACAAGCTTGCTTGTTTGCTTGCGGATTCTGGACTGCTTGACCTCCAGTGCGTTGAGATGGTTCCCTCGGGAGGTGGCGACGCTCTGAATCGCTTTTGCAGCCTGACATTTTTTCGGTGCGCGAGGACCCGGCCAGCCAGCCGGCCATCTACCAAGGCGCGCATTGCGCCCGCTAAGGAAGAGCTTCGGTGAGATTTGTTCGGCTCGTGTGGGTGTCTTCGGCATACAGAGAGAGTTAGAAGGTGTTTACAGATGAATAAATGAATGTTCAGTGTTGATGCTAAGTTTGATTAGTGCCCGAGAGATTCGCCACCGAGTAGCGCTGGTGTTGATGCCTATGCACCGCACCCCTGACTCTAAACTGCATGCAGAGTCGCCTGGGAGGCATGGGCTTGGAGCACATGCTGCAGTCATCCATGCGCTTCAAGAGAGACTTCGATGATGTCTGCCATAAGTTTGCGAAGCACATTCAGGAGCAAAGGGCAGGGGCATGCTTCGTGCGAGTTTCTCTCCCACTGAGCCTTTGCAAGCAGGTCTCATGCAAATGCAGGGCCGCAAAGTAAACAGGAAGAATCCTTTCAGGGTGTATGCATCCTATTGACAATGTTGCTTGTAGGTGTGCTGAAGGTGCAGCAGCAGAGGTGGGAAACACGAAGTCCCGTCTATCAAAAGGGGGAATCGGGGAAGGACTTTGATGCCGCAGATTGCACATCTCCGGTTGGTAGTTCTCTGTTTATCTCTGTTGGCTTCATGTGCAGCGGCCATCACTGCTATCACACGGCAGGACAGGGGCTATGGTGTGTCCTTCATGGCTGCCTCGATCAAGTCCCTGGCCTCCGCGGCCAGCAAAGTCAACACCGAGTACCACGGCGATTGCCGTCAGCTGAAGGACGTGGTGCGTGGCACGCTGGTCATCAAATCTGGCAAGGCAGGCTGTGCACGTTTTGCCAATCTGTCGACTTCCCAGCATGTTCCTGTCGCAGACTGTGTGTCAAATGAATCGCCGAAATATGTACATTTGTCGGATGACCTGTGCTAGCGTTCTTTTAGGATGGCACTGCGCCCAGCGTCGCAGCCGGCTACGAGATCCTGCAGATGCTCGTGGAAGACGAGGGTCGCTTCCTGGAGTCCGCTAACGCGCGGTTTACCCGCTTCAGCGACCGCTATCAGAAGCCTGTCGGAGCGGCGAAGTGCCTCGGCTGCATGCCCCGAGGAAATTTTGCCGCCCGAGTTTCGGTAGACTCTCCGTCAGACAGCACGCAGGTACCGCGACTGGTTGTTCTTGTTAAAGATTGGCGACTTCGCGTGCGAGCTCCAAGTCAACTTCGAGCTAGCGGTGCAGGCAGGAGTGCCAAAGGTAATTGAAATCTCAGCAAGTTGGAAGTATTGACCCGTCGTCGGGCACTGGCATGTGCTTGCCAGGTGAAGGAGCAGGAGCAGCACCATGAGTACGAGCTGCAGCGCCTCGCCACACGCAAACTTCTAGAGTCTGCCATGAGGAATGACTATGGAATGGTCCACCTCCTGCCCCTCAGCCGCATTTGTGGGCTGCGATTGAAGCTTCTGGCTTTGAGGTTTCTGCTGCAGACTTCGAAGGATCCTGCACCTGAGTGTCCGGTCCCTCAAACCAGCTAAAACCATAATGAACCAACATAAAACAATCCACATATGCATATTTGTATATATGTATATATACACAGACACCCGTGCGCAGGCACACATGCATGCAAGTACGGGCTTCCTCAAGCCGTGGCACGCAGGTGGAGTGCATTTGCGGTCTGGGCTCCGCTTTCCCCGAAAGCTTCTGCTGGCCCCGAGGCTGGCCTCCAACGGCCTTCACGGCGAAAGTCTAGTGAACGCCCGAGATTGTCACGGCTTCACACCGCTCCACTATGCAGCCAGGCTGCGGGATTCCTGCACCATGGGGCTTGGTAAAGGGGTGCGTCATGTGAATGATGGTGTGCGTTAAATTATGCGACTATCGCAAACCCGGACATCCGGGCAATGCGGAGATCCTTGCTGCGTAGCCTGCAATTATGCTTCTTGTGAGTTTCTCCCCCTCCCCCCCAAGTGTTCTGCAAGAACGCCCCGGCCAGGCATGGGAACGCTCTGATGTTGGAGCTGCTTCTGAAGCGGGGTGCAGATGTTCTCGCCCTCGACAGAGAAGGACTTCCTCCGCTTCACCATGCACTGGCCATGGTGCACCCTGATGCTTGCCAGAAGCTTTTGAGGGCCATGGAAGGCCTGCCGAAGGAACGGCTGCGGAAAGAGCCCCTTGCGAGCACTGTGCAAGGCATGTGGGCAACCGCTTTCCAGACACAAAGCGATGAAATTCATGAGCTCGCGGAGAAGCTTGCGCAGGTAGCCAAGAGTGCCTACAGCACGCCGGGGCAGCACTTGCAGGCCATCGCACGGAGTGGCGATGTCTCCGCCATGAGGGCGGCCTACAAGACCCTGCCGATGTCCTACGTGAGGCTCGGGTGGGTCAGTATCCCATGGGATCCCGTGCAGTGTGGGTTCGTGAAGATGCTCGATCTCGCCATCCTCAGCGGCTCCGCGGCCATGGCCGCGATGGTCGCACAGCCCCACCAGCATGGCGCACCGAGTCGAATCCAAGATCGAGGCGGCGATTTGGACATGCACGCAGAGCCCCAACATGTGGAAAGGCTGGTGAGGCAGGGCAGGGTCGCCCGCTTCCGAGCCCTGCACGCAGTACGCCCACCGGACACCCGAAGAATGGCGGAACTTTTGGTGGTCGCTGCCGAGCACGACCAGCTGGAGATGGCACACCAGATCTGGACGCTTGGTGGAGGCGGCTTAGCCGCTGCCCTGACGGATGAGGAGAAGGTGAAGCTCGTGGAACTGGGACTACACGCGGCGGCTTTGGGCCACGAGGATTTCGTGCGCTTGCTGATCGAGGCCAAGGCGCCATTGGACAAAGTGATTGGTACCGGTGAGACCAGGATGATCCGCCAAGCAGCTGCCACCGGCCAGACCGCCATCGTGGAGCTTCTGGCGGAGGCGGGGGCCGATACTCGGGATCAAGTTCTCGCCGCCGCTGTTACCAAGGGACACTACGAGACGGCAGCACTCCTTCTGAGGCGAGGCGGAGATCCCAAGGAAAGCTGGGGTGGAGGGGAGCAACCGGCCTACTCGATCATCGGCCAGGCGATCCTGAAGAATCGACCCGAGATGCTCCAGCTGCTCGCGCAGTACGGCGCCGACACGTACACGGACGAGAACTTGGAGTTTGCCGAGGAGCAGCAGGCGTTTGACTGCCTGGAATTCATGCGCCGCTCCGGGGAGGCGGCATGCCCCGCGTAGAGCCGCAAAAGGGAAGTTTAATTATTATGTAGTTTCATCAGATTTGTCACGTATAAGTAGATAGTCATAATATGGTCAAGTATAGTCCGTATACCCATCTGTACAATTTAGATATGACTATTCAGTATAGTCAGCCAATATATGCAAGTGTACAGATGCATATGTACCAAGAAACAAGATATAGACAAACAACTAGAGAAATTAAGAAACCTACATATATATATATATATATATATGTATGTCGTTTTAAGCTGTTAGATCGACAAGAAATGATAAACGAGTAGTCAGAGACGGTAGTATATGTACAAAAACTGCATATATACGTTCATGACGATCAGTTCTTGGCTCTTCGGGACATCGCGACAACGTTGCCCCGACATTATTTTAGCTGTCATGGAAAACCCAAAAAGCCCGCCGCTCTGAAGAGGGTGGTGTGGCTGCTTTCGTGAGCTGTGGGAGCGGTGGGAGCTACAGCTTTGAGCTACAACTTTCAACTGCCTTCTCGATGGAATCCCATAATATTGGGTCAGGAGGATGCAGCATGGGTGAGCACTATGTATAGGCTGAAAAGTCAAGATCAAGCATTGCAAGCTTCTGTCGATTAAAGTCATGGATCCTGGCTCGGGTGTTTAAATTATCCTATGTCTCAGCCTTTAAAAGAGCTGCTAACATGCCAGGATTATCTGAGATACAGAATGATGGTTGTCTTTGACAGACATTGAATGTGGATTTGCCACATGCAAAGTTCTGCTCAGGGCCGCTGCTGCCCACCTCGACGGCAGCTCACGTAGTTAGTGCTCTAGCCGTACCTTGTGCCAGACAACAGTACGTCCATGTCCGTCCTACGATCGTACGTACGGGTATGTATGTCATGTGCATACGCATGTATGCATGAATGTAAGTTCCTATACATGGTATGACTAGGTCTGCTAAGTTGAGCAAGGTGAACATAATAGATAGATATGAACCCACAGTAGAAAGGTCTGGCAGAAGGTGCCAGGAATTCTGCGGCTTGATAACACGGAGAGATTGCAAGCTGCAGCATCGAGCTGCCCAAAGGGGCCTTGCTTGCTGCAATCGCATTGGCCGGTCGCAGATGACCGATTGAAAGCCGAGCTTTAGCAAGGAACTCTAGGGAAAAGAGCCGAGCTCTTCCGCTGTCACCGTTGTGCTGTGATGGTGTGTTTACGAGCGTATATCTAACTTACCTGGATATGTTGCACTCGAACGCGTCCTCCCCACTCCGACTGACTCCCCAAGCTACTGTGTAGAGAAAGTCAAGTCTGCTAAAGTATATAACGACATGTGACGTGATCAGAAGCCATGGAATCGTGCAATAAACTGGTCGTCATCGAACCTCAACGGTTCCGCGGGGGCTGGGCTTTGCCAGGCTGATCCCTAGGATAAAGCAGAAAGACTGTGCATTCTTCGCGGACTCTTCGAACCCATGGAATGCCAGGTTGCGAGGTGAGGCAGTCCCTGGTGCTGGGAAGACTCGAGGTGGAAGCGTGCAGATAGAGGCAACATTCGGGTCCTGTAGGACAGCACACACCAGTTTCAGCAAAGTCGGCTAGATTCGTTCAACATTTCCCAGGCTTGCAGGGCATCTTAGTAGTCTCAGGCCTAAGCTTTCCGTAGCTGGGCTCCGACATCTAGAAGAAACTCGTTGTCGCAGGCCCTTAACAGCCTGAGACCCTCCAGATCCTGCAATGCAATCCAGGCCCAAAGCCAGGGGTAGAAAGTGTAGTGTGGACGGTAGCACGGGAGCAGTCAGTGAAGGGTTGGGGCACATTCGCTGATGATCGCAGCTGTGGTCTCGACCTTTGCCGTGGATAGCTTGAGACGGTTTAACCAAAAGCCTGGTATCGAAGTTCCTAAGCGGATTCCTAAGCCAAAGCTGACCTCCCAACTTCGAGTCTCCTGGAGCCCTCGTCTCCTTGAGCCGTGAAGCTCCCTAACTCGTATTTATACCCTTCCAGCTTTAGGATTTAGGGTTTAACGTTTATTGTTTATGGGTTTTCCTTAAGTCTCATACCCTGCCAGCCCTAACCCTAAGCCCTGGCCCTTGTGCCATCAGGTTGGATGTCTTGTCCAAGTGAGTTCCTCAACGGTAAAAGCTACGTCCAAGTGTGTTCCACTATAGATAAGAAAGACTGCAGTCCTCCACACCGAGAAAGCGATGCCCGAAGCCCGCCTTGTTGGGGCAAAGCCAGGCACTCGAGACGGTATTGTTTAGTAGCGAGGTAGCAGGTAGCAGCGCCAAGAGCAATGTCCGGAGAATACATCCTTCACCTATTCCCCACATCATCGCTCAAATAACACGTGTATTGGTAACAGATACGACTGCACTCGCAAGCCAGCCATCAAGTGGAAGCCCAGCCATCCCGAACCCAAAGTCATGTTCACACCCTCCTCTCCCCCAAGCCCGTTTGAACCAGGAGCAAGTTCTGAAGGCTGCGATGAAAGTCGAGGCGGAGCGCCGTCAGAGGAAGGTGTTGAAAGGTGTAGCTGTGCATCCACCGTGCTGGAAGTTTTCGAGAGCAGCTTTGCCGTTGATCATTCGGATTTCTAGTACTACATTGACCACCAGCAGACCTTCGTTCATTCCCACTTAGTCTTGAAAGGCCCGAATTGCTCTACCGTGGCTTTACCGTCTAGCCGTCTGAGTAAGTTCGAGCTTCGCTTCGTGGGGTCATCTTGGATCTGTAGCAGCTTCGATTCATCACTCTGAATTGCGGCTTAAAGCCGGTTGCAAGTGTCCACATCCCTCGCCAGTGGTCAAGTCTGGCCCTTACGTTGGACCAGAGTCGTGTCTGTGGCATACAGGACACCCTATAGATTCACAACAACCGCCGAAACACTTCAAAGCGCAAAGCCCTTGCACGAACCCATGACCTAGATGTTATCATGCCCGAAGCGGAAGCCCCCAATCGGTCTGCACTGCTACAGCTGCTACAGCGCTTCCCCCCAAGGTGGATGCAAGTGGCCAACAAATACATCCCAAAGGTACTGCACTCTCGAGGCGTGGTCTTCGGTCTTCGGATAGACAGCTGTGAACAGCTTTTTGGGTCAGCACACGCAGCATTGTGCGGAGAACTGAACTGAGCATGGCTTCAACTTTGGGCGCCTCTCTCCCTCTCCCTCTCCCTCTCGCCCCCTCTCGCCCCCCCCCCCCGCTCTCTCTCTCTCTCTCTCTCTCTCTCTCTCTCTCTCTCTCTCTCTCTCTCTCTCTCTCTCTCTTGTCCTTTTCCCAATCCGAGCCCGAACGACTTAAAGAAACCTCGAGGCCCAGCCCAGGGGTTCTCCTTTGAAGAGTCACTCGCGATTGATCTCATTTTCTTCAGCTTGAGCAATCATGCCACTGAAATCGATGGGGGACTCAAGCAAGAAAGATTAGACTAGAAGAGCTCTGGTTGGCCTCCTACTTCCCCTCGCTCCTCTGACCTTTGCACACCCCCTACGATACTAGCAGCAACTTTGCCACCCCCAAACTCTACACCTACACCTCGAACCGGCGCCACTCGAAGCAGCAGCCTTTAACCGCCTTTGGCCCCTGGACCTGCCTATACCTCAGGCGGCGATGCGCTTCGCTGACCTTTCCATTGCGAAGCCCTCGGTGGCACAGGAAGCCCAGGGGCAAATCCCAACACAAAGCCGCATGAACTGTAGAAGGACTGTTGAGCGCTATGTCTTCCATGCGCAAGGCACAAACTCGAAGCCCGAACTCTGGAAAGATTGAAGAGTGCGGTTTCATTGCCCTGTAATTAACTCCATGTCCGAATTACGAACATAACTCTGGAAGGCAACTCCATGCGAGGGTCGGTATGCTAGAAATGCTTCCAGAGTCTGTGCGAAAGTGCCGTCGCATTGGGCTATGTTGGTCCTAGCCACAGATTGTCTTGCCGGCTCCTGATTTTGTCTTATTAAGGATTGTTGAAGACACTTGATATGAACAAATAGGCTTTCCGTTGTAAGCCCTGGGATGGGGACAATGCAGGTATTTGATAGTTCTTTGTTTTCGAGCTTTCTTGTCAAGTGAGCATGTAAATGTAAAAGGTAGCAAATTCTTCAGAGTTCTTCCCTGTTTCTGGCCGCCCTCACTTCCACCGGCCTCGTCTCTGTTTCAGCTTGCTGTCGAAGGTGTTCTCGGGCTCTTTGGAGTGATACAGATTACAGCTGCAAACGACTCACTTCCTCACGTCATTTTAGGAGTCGAGTGCCATCAGATTCAACTGAAAAGCTATGGTATACAGGTCTGGAATCAGAACTGCCGGACGCGAGCTGCAGAGCGATGCCTGAAGCGCCGAGGTTGTTCAGGGAGCTCGCGGGCGTGTTGTTTCATCCAGGCAATGTTGACGTTCGCTCGTGGTCCCGGCATGTGTTCGTAAAAGTTTGTCGGAGAGGCATGGGAAAGTACCACAAACCTAGGCGGAGCGGCTGGGCACACATGCAAAGCTGTGCTGCGCGGATCGCGTTCATCAGCCTGCGTGGAGTGCTTCTGTCTGTATGCTTCTGTGCAAACAGCGACAGTCACGAGTTATGAGTATGAGCATTCCGACTCCGACGGCACCTTTGCAGCTCAATGTGCTTTTCCATCTGCCAAGCAGAACCGCACCTGAGCTCAAAGTTGGGCCAACCATGACTGCGGAGATGGCAACATCCATCAGCCAGCTGTCGGTAGGCCGGGACTGGGCCAGGACCATTTCTGGTACTTTCGTCTATAGATGTCTCTGCATCGGGCTGTCGGGCTCTTCAAAGGGCTCTGAAGGGGCCGCGATTCTGCAGGTGTTGCAACTGCTGAGCCTCTGTATCCTTGAAACAACGATGTCAGGCCAAAGAGTGACGGCGATCTTGCTACGCTTCGACGGTGGCAACGCCAGCCAGGAGCGTTGGGAATTGCAGATTCACTGTAGCTTGCAGCTCCAGATCGCATCGAAAACCACGCAGGGTGCCCTCCTGAAGCCCGAAACCCTAAACCCTACTATATATAAACCCTAAACCCTCAGCCTAAGATCCTAAACCCTATCCTTGAAAGCTCCGACTCATCTCAGGAGGAGAAGGCGGCCACCATCCGCTTCCTTGGCAGCACGAGCTTCTCCCAGGGCGAGTGGGTGGGTTTGGAGCTGGAGGAGCATTCGGGGAAGTTGAGGGAACCGGAAGGTGCCTGTTACCTTTACATATTGTTTTTCTCTCTCTGTCTCTGTCCCTCCTGTTCCCACACCGGGTTCAATACGTTCTACGCATTTTGTGCAGAAAGTCTCATGACACGGCAGCAGACTGGAGCCGTTATTCTCCCAATGTTTGCCGTGCTTCGACAAGTTCTTCCTCCGTCATTTCTTATCGACTCCATGTCAAGACAGCCGATGGCGAAAGACTGACAGACCTGGGTCGCAGGGCAGCTACTTCGGTATGTGTCGAGTGCAGGATGAAAGCGGGAAGAACGATGGCGAAGTGAAGGGCCAGCGCTATTTCACTTGCCCGTCACTGGCCTTGCATCGATTGGGGCTCGGGGTCTCGTGCTTCATCGGTCGTGTCAGACATGGGGAGCTGCAGGTTCTTAAGGGAGCTCCCAAGAAGGTGGCATCGACTTCTCTTAGAATTTTGGGCGGCTAGTGAAGGCTGGCAGTTACCAGTAGTTGTTAATGGAACTTGTTTAAGAAATCCGCAGTGTTGCCGCCAAATCGGCCAGGAAAGCTACAGCATGTCCACCGTCGCGCATTTGTTGCTCGCTTCGTTTTCCCACTGCAGCTCTGGCAGCTGTGTAGCTCCTCGCGCCGGCATTCATCTGAGGCCGCAGCGCGGCTTGTTCATGAGGCCAACGATGGTAAGGCTGCCAGAGCTGCTCGGGACGCAAATGAGGGACAAGATGACAAGATACGGGTATGCGGTCTACTTTCCGCTTCAGGGCCACCTTGTGCAGCGGGTCCTGTCGTCTCCATTCTGTTGGATGTTTGGATAGCTGCTACGCCATGTTCTGGCCCTGGCATACCGTTCTGGAAGAGGCTATCTGGCCCTATAATTACATTGGTTTCATGCGGTTCGCTGAAGGGTCTATATCCGTTTACGGCCTCCGGGTGTTTCAGCTTAAGGGTCAGGGCCAACACAGAGCTATGCAAAGCAGTCAAAGAAAGGTTTTTGGGCCCAGAAGCCAGGAAACGTGAGTCATTCGAGCCTTCGAGTAAGTCTAACCGAGACTTACTCCTATTTATTAATCTCTTCCTTTGCACGTGCCCACGTGCGTGCGCAGTCGGGTCTTTACGCTTCCTAGGCGTTTGTTTTTCCGTTGCCCGCCTTAGCCTGCCAAGAGGGAGGACTGTCGGGATGTTTTGCGTCAGGGAGAACGAATTTGCATTGGAGTTTGGATTCAGTTTGCAATTGGACCCGTTTCCGAATCATGGTTTCATAATGGTCCTTTCTACCCGAACCTTGACATGGTTTTGGGGGCCAGGTACTTTAAAATCCGAGAACCTATTCTTTTGATTTTTTGGAGGTTCTTACTATAAGCCCCGAAATGGAGCTTAGAGAGAAGCTGCAAACAAGGTCGGCTCGGGTAGTTTATAGCGGATATTACTATTGGCGTACATGTACCCTGAGGGTGTTTCCGGCGTTGTGAACAGCACAGGATGTTCGTCGAGGCGCCAAGAAGTCGGCTTAGATCTTTCAAAAACGGTAGTAGGCAACGTTAAAAGAGCCAGTGTTGCACTCGTAAGTTTCCATGCCGATCTGTTGCTAAAAACGTGAGTCCTTTTGTGCACGGGTTCTGTTTCGTGGGAAATCCGCTGGCATTTGTTTGCTTATTTGGTTTCGGTCTTCATTCGTCACGTTCATTGTCAGTCTCACGCAGTTTGCGGTTCCTCGCTGGAGTCCATAAGAATGCGCAAGGGCGCCCCTGAAACGTTGTGCCCGTGCAGGGATGCGGCATCAGGAAGATTTCACGACGAAGAAGTCAGCTTACCAGTGGAGCTGGTGGAGGCCGGCACACCGCTTTGTTCCTTGTTTGCTGAACCGTTTAGCGACCCGGAAGTGGCAAATATAGGGGCCTATTACATAATTACCTATATACTAGTTTGGGTGTTCCTTATGTTTTTTGAAGTTAGAGTATAACAGGCACCAAAACCCAATTCTAATCAGGGCGACGAAGTGAATGTCGTAAGGCTGCTTGGGCTCTTTTTCTCGAGCTCATTCATTGATGAAGCCGTGGGCCTCAATGGACCCAATAATCAAAATTTAGAATGAGGTTTTGGGGCCCCTTATACTATACATTAATAAGGAGCCCCCAAAATAGTAAGCCCATCTTTGGTCTGCGAATATGCAGGGACGGCTCCGGGCCTCTAGATGTGGGTTGCTGTTGGTTCCTGCTACATCGGACTACGCTTCTTATGTCACGTTACTGACGAATGTAGACATTCGATTTCCGCAGAGACTCATTGCTGATCCCTGCTAAAAGCAAGCCCATGAATCCTCGACTGCAAGTCTTTGAGCCGTGCAATAGTTACTCGAACTCTGAGTCACATATCACCTTCCAAACAAAGAGCCCAAAGATCCCGGGACTCTTGTCGCTAAGCTCGCATCTTCAGGCTGAGGAGGGCAATGACCTCGGGGCCATTTCCGCGAAGGCCCAGCCTCAATGCCTTCGCAAGGACCCTGTCGGGCCGGCAGGATTACCGACCACGGAGGTTTTTGAAAGCAGGTTTGGGGTTTCTTCCTAGCCGCCTGGTGGCTGAATTAAGTGTCCCAGAGCTCTTGGAGCGTTGCTGTCCCTTTTGAGTTGGAATCTTTCAGCCAAACCTGCTCGGAGGCATAGGTTGCACTACGTCGAAGCCCTGTACACGCCACTATGTGCTAGAGTTTCAGCAGGCCTTGTTTTTGCAGTATGCGTTTGCCACCACAGGACAAAAAGCACCTGCCCAAAAAGCGACTGGTGAAGAGGCCGTGCGGTTTCTGGTGCTTCTTGCGGCTCTTGCAGGGTCATGTTGCTCCTGACAGACACATCAAGATGCCCATGCTTCAAAACATGACTCGCCACAACGAGGTTTGGTGCACAGGGTCGGAATCGAGCACGGCTTCCCCGTAAGTCATGCCAGATGATGTCTTTGATGGGCGCTCGTTTGTTGGTTTGTGGCCGGAGTGGACACCTCATGCGTGGCGTGGATCATACACCCTACACATGGCCCGCCAAACTGTTCGGGAATTTCGGCTGGAGGGGTTGCTCCGGCGTGCTGCCCCTTCCTCCTGAAGCTTTCCATCTCCCCTCCGTCCGGACGGTGCAGCATGTGAGAAGCCAGAACAACTCGTAATGCCATGCCGTAGCCAAGGGTTCCTCATAGCACGAAGCATGAATCTGCAAGCCCAAGAGCATTATATCTTTAGCAGGCTGAAGGCAAAGATCGTCGTGGAAGACTCGGCCGACAAAGAACCAAAGCAGCCGAAGATCATCGACCAGCTCGGGGGCGAGGCAGTGAGCTCTCTAAGCCGGGTTTCGGGTTGAGGGCTTCTGTCAGAACGATTACCTTGGCTGCAGGGCTGGGCCGCAAAATCTTGGTGCCATGGAAAAGAGGAGGTGTAGTTGTTGCCTCGAGAGTGATGTGGAGCAGTAGACCGAACCTGAGTCCCACAGGTTCGGCTAGAGAGCTGGAGCAGCTATAGACAGCTTTATTGCAAAGCCAAACCACGACGCACTGAAGACCACGGCCACCTTTCTTCGGGATGTGCCCGAGGTGCAAAGTATAGCTCCGCTAAGGGGTTGAACCTGCGGTCTCAGGGAGTTTGCCGAGTGTCCGCTTCAGTATTTGGAGGGCGTATAAGCTTCGGTAAGCTTACAGTTGTTGGTGCACTCACGTCATGCAAGTATCTTTCCGGATTAAGCAGAGATCCCTCCGATCCCTGTCAGGCCGAGGTGAAAAAACATCAGGGTAAATTTCCTAAGGCTGCTTGAGGGTCCCTCGAGCTCATGACCCATTCCGCCTCGAGGGATCAGCGCGCCAGTCTGCGAGCATGTAGAGACTGCTCTGGCCTCTGGCGTACTCGAAGTCCGAGTCTGAAGTTTCAGAGCAATGTCCAAACCCAGATCCCATGCGCCCCAATATCGTTGCCCTGCTTAGCTGCTTCCGAAGGTCGAAGCCCAGGGTGTGCGCCAGGACCCTGTCGGGCTCGCAGGCTTCGGTCTCGCAAGGTTGTTATGCGTTTGAGCTGGAATCCCTGGGCCACGGCCAGCCAGCAGGTGCCACTCAGCAGGCCGTTTCTGTAGCAATTGCCATCACAGGAGGAGATCGATTTGGCTAAGAGGCGTCGGGCATATTGGCAAACGTGTCTCGCCTGCAAACAGACCGTGGACTCTTGCGTGTGTGTTGTGATGTTGCTTCTGGTCTGGGGGACTCATCAAAGTGCCCATGTTTCGAACCGTAAGTCGCTCCAAAGATGTTTGATGTGCGAAGTCGCAATCGAAAACAGCTACCCACATGTAAGAGCATGTCTTTGATGGGTGTTGTTGTTCGGGTGGAGTGGACACCTCATGCACGGTGTGGATCTACACACCCTGCATGGCATGGCCTACGTACACACTTTTCCGGGAGTTTCGGGCGGAAGTTGGGAAGTTGCTGTGAATTATGTTCATCTCCCGACTCGATTCTTGCAGAATCCTGAATAGTTCGTACAATGTAATTCCCGGTCATAAGCATATTTGTTACAGTCATAGTCGAGTGTTCGTAGTATTATATTATATGCCCCAATTCACAACCCTTTGCGGTCCCTACAGTACCTCAGTATGAGGCTATTGCTTAGGCTTTGGGTTCCTCACAAAAACAAGTGTAATACACCCTTGAACCCGTTTCTGATCATCATAAGACCCCACCAGGCTGAATGCAGAGAAAGCCGTGGAAGACTCGGCCCGCAAAGATCCGGAGCTGATCGACCAGCTCGGGGGCGAGGCACTGGGCTCTGAGCAAAATAGGTTTTTGGGGTGGGTATCGGGCATGATAAGAGTTTAGGGATGTTTCGGGTTTAGGGTTCAAATTTTGTAGGTTTTTCAGACGAACTATACTTTTGCTGCAGAGCTCCGCCGCAAAACCTCGGCGTCGCGGCAATGAGGAGGTGTACGTGTAGGAAGTGCCGAGGGCCGGGATATTTGGAGCAGTAGACTGACTTTGAGTAGACAGGACCCAGGGGTGGAGATCGACCTGCGTGGGGAGAGCTGGAGCAGTAGCCCTTTGTCCTGCCAAGTTAGACCACGACACCTCGAAGCCACGGAATAGAATCGGCTCGGCTCAGCTGTTGAGGTTTCAGGGAGATTTTCCGAGTTTTCGCTCCGGGATGTGGAGGGCGTAAGTCTGGGTAGACTTATAAACAAAAGCTTGCTCCTGTCGGTTGCAGAGTAAAGAGGATTCACGTGCCATGCGACTTCATGTGCTGCAATGGCAAGTATATCTTGCGAAAGTGCGCAGAGATTCCCTGCGATCCCACCCGCCAGGCAGAGGTGAAGAAGCATCAGGGCGCGTCGCGGCTTCTGCAGCAAAAAGTTGCTCAAATGGTCAAAGAGGACGAGGACCCGGGCAGGTCAAGCCATGGCATAACCAAAAAAGTAATATTTGGCCGCTCTGCGCTGCTCACTCGTCGCATGTTGGGATCGCATCACGCAGGCACCGTTTTGCAACATGACATTTTCTTCCCTTATCATATCTGTATTCTTACCAGGATCCTGCCAGCCAGCCGGCCATCTACCAAGGTGCGGCCTGCTTCCCACTGAGGGAGAGCTTCCGGGGTGTGAGTCTTCGGAAAACCGAGGCGATTGTATCCAGCTTCAGTCCATCATGCGGAGATGCCTGCCTATGTTGACTTCGCATCGAATTCATGAGCCAGCTTCACGTCACAAGTCCCACCTGTGAGGCATGGGCTTGGAGCACATGTTGCAGTCCTCAGAGCGCTTCAAGAGCGACTTCGATGATGTCTGCCATAAGTTTGCCAAGCACATTCAGGAGCAGAGGGCAGGGGCATGCTTCATGCCAGCTTCTCTCCCACTGAGTCCTTGGAAGCAGGTCTCATGCAAATGCAGGGCCGCAGGGTAACCGCCGCCTCCCCCCCATCCTGCAGCAAGAGTTCCAAAACTTCATGGCCGTTGGCCAACCGTTCCGGCGCGGGGGAGGGGGGTTTCGGGCAGTGTGCGGAAGGTGCAGCAGCATCGGAATCCGTCGGAAGCTGTCCCGTCTGTGAACAGGGGAACGCGGGGAGGCACTTTGAAGTCCTAGCTTCTGCATATTGGATTCGTAGTCCTTTGTTAAGTGCATAGGCAACACACCCTCGAAGTTCTCGCACTCCAGGACATGGGCTATGGCGTCTCTTTCATGGCTGCCTCGATCAAGTCCCTGGCCTCCGCGGCAAGCAAAGTCAACACCGAGTACCACGGCGATTGCCGTCAGCTGAAGGACGTGGTGCGTGGCACGCTGGTCATCAAATCTGGCAAGGACAGGCCGTGGAAGTTTTCCCAATCTTTCGACTTGCGAAACTGTTCCCGCGGGAGACCGCTGTCGCAATGGACAGTCGAAGCAGATGTGTCGGAAAATTAAACTTAGCGAGCCTCGTGGCAGGACGGCACTTCGCCCAGTGTTGCAGCCGGCTATGAGATCCTGCAAATGCTGATCGAGGACGAGGGCCGTTTCCTGCAGGCGGCAAACGGACGCTTCACCCGCTTTAGCGACCGCTATCAGAAGCCTGTTGGAGCAGTGAAGTGCCTGGGCTGCATGCCGTGAGGCGTTTTGCCGTTCAAGTTTCGGTATCGATTTTGCGTCAGACGGAACGCAGGTACCGCGACTGGCTGCTCCTGCTCAAGATCGGCGACTTTGTCTGCGAACTCCAAGTCAACTTCGAGCAAGCGGTGCAGGCAGGAGGACCAAAGGTAATCAGGTAATCCATAATCTCGGCAGCTTCGAGGTGGAGACTCTTGCGGTCGGGCACTGGATGTCATGTGCTTGTCAGGTAAAGGAGCAGGAGCAGCACCATCAATACGAGCTGCAGCGCCTCGCCACCCGCAAATTGCTAGAGTCAGCCATGAGGAATGACTATGGGATGGTCCATCTTCTGCTCCTCAGCCGCATTGAAGGGCTGCAGTTGGATTGTCGTTGCTTGAGGATATGTTGCAGGCTACTGTAGCATGCTGCAGCCCGAGTGGTTTTGAATGGTGTGTTCTCGTCCCAGCCGATTCGGCAACCCGTGCCAGAGTCTTCTCCTCCTTCCTTAAAGTTCATTCCAGAAGCACAAAACATGCATTTACAAAACACCCATCCGCAGAGAAGACACACACACACACACACACATGCACGCGCATGCAAGTATGTGTTTGTAATATATATATATATATATATATATATATATATATACATGCATATACACATATATGTAGACGCACGCAAGTACGTGAGTGCTTCCTCAAGCCGTGGCACGAAGGTGTAGTGGAGTTCTGCCAAAGGTCCGCACATCCCGAAACCTTCTCGAAACCTGGCCCGGAGGTTGGCCTCCACCAACGGCCTCCACGGCGAAAGTCTGGTGAACGCTCGCGACTGCCACGGTTTCACCCCGCTCCACTACGCAGCCAGGCCGAGGGATGCTTGCACTATGCGACTGTGGCTCCCATACTTAAGACTTAAGGCCTCGAGGCCGAGGTTCTCCTGCCCAAGAGTTCTGCAAACCGCCCCGGCCAGGCACGGGAACGCTCTGATGTTGGAGCTGCTTCTCAAACAAGGTGCGAATGTCCTCGCACTCGACCGGGATGGGAATCCCCCATTGCACCACGCTGTGGCAATGATGCACCCTGATGCATGCCAGAAGCTTTTGACTTCCATGCACGGGCTGCCGAAGGAACGGCTGCAGAAGGAGCCGTTGGCCAGCAATCTTCAGCAGATCTGGGGTGCCTCATGCCAGTCGGGCAACGACGATATCCACCAGCTGTCGGAAAAGCTAGCGGAGGTTGCAAAAAGAGCGTACAGTACTCCAAGTATGCACCTGATGGCCATCGCACGGAGTGGGGACGTTCCGGCCATGAGGGCTTGCTACAAAACCATGTCACTGAAATACGTGTGTCAAGGTTGGAATTTATGCCTGGATGACTACGTGGAGTGTGGGAAGCCGAACATCCTTGACAACGCCATCCTCAGCGGCTCGGCTGCCATGGCCGTGATGGTGGCCAAGCCGGACGACCACGGCGCACCGAAGGGCACCCCGCGTCAAGGAGAGTTGAAAATGCACAAGGACCCCAAACAGGTAGAGAGGCTGGTGAGGCATGGCAAAGTCGCCCGGTTCCGAGCCCTGCATGCGGTGCGGCCGCCGAAGACCCGAAGGATGGCAGAGCTTCTCGTGGTCGCCGCCGAACACGACCAGCTTGAGATGGCACACGCAATCTGGACGCATGGTGGAGGCGACATAGCGTCGGCCCTGACGGATGAGGAGAAGGTGAAGCTGGTGGAGCTGGGACTGCAAGCGGCCGCTCTGGGCCACGAAGAATTCGTGAGCCTGCTGATCGAGGCTGAAGCGCCATTGGATAAAGACATCAATGGCAGACGCATGATCACACAAGCAGCCGGCGCTGGCCAAACCGCCGTTGTGGAGCTTCTGGCAGATGCAGGCGCCGATTTTCGGAATCGGGTCCTGTGCGAAGCTGTTCCTGCAGGTCACCATGACACTGCAGAATTCCTCTTGAAGCGAGGCGCAGATCCGAGGGAGAGATGGGGAACCGGGCAGGGCGCCAAGTCCGTGATCGGCCAGGCGATCATCTTAAATCGACCCGAGATGCTCCAGCTGCTCGCGCAGTATGGGGCCAACTCCTACACCGACGAGAACTTGGAGTACTCGGAGAGGATGCACGCTCTTGACTGCCTGGAATTCATGCGCCGCTCCCGGGAGGCGGCATGCCCTGCGTAGAGCCACAAAAGGGAAGTTCAGAGCTAGATCATATATTATGGGCTTGTAGAGTGCATATACATCATAGTCCACATATACATTTGTACATACAGATGTATGATGATACAAGTACCGTCAGTCATATGCATGTGTACCAATGTATGTGTGTACCAAAAGAAAAGCAATTAGACAGACAAATAAAGAAACAAGCCCATGCATATATATATATATATATATGTACATAACTGTATGTATGTATGTATGTGTATGTATGTATGTATGTATATATATATATATATATACATACATACATAGATAGGCAACGCATGATGAACAAGTATAGTCAGAAACTCGAAGAATATGTACAACAACTGCAAATATACATGGGCTCTTCGGGACATCGCGACAACGTTGCACCGACGCATTTTCAGCTGTCGTGGAGAACCCAAACAGCCCGCCGCTCTGGAGGGCGGTGTGGCTTCTTTTGTGAGCTGTGGGAGCGGTGGGAGCTACAGCTTTGAGCTATAACTTTCATCTGCTTTTGGGCGGAATGCCCTAATAATGTAAGCTTCATTCGATTGGAATCAAAGATCCTGGCTCAGGTGTTTAAGTTATCCTATGTGTCAGGCTGTAAAAGAGATGCCAGCATGCCAGGAACATCGAAGATTATGAATGGTATTTGTCTTCCCGAAATGTTTAGTATGCTTTTGCCACATGCAAAGTTCTGCTCGGGGCCGCTGCTGCCCACCCCGACGGCAGCTCACATAGTTAGTGCTCTAGCCGTACCTTGTGCATCCTGGTGCCAGACAACAGTCCGTCCTACGATCGTACGTACGGGTATGTAGGTCATGTGCATAGGCGTGTATGCATGTATGCATGTTCATGTACATGGTATAACTATGCCAAATTAAGCAATGTGAACATACATAGATAGACATGAACCCACAGTACAAAAGTCTGGCACAAGGTGCCAGGAATTCTGCGGCTTGATAACACGGAGAGATTGCAAGCTGCAGCATGGAGCTGCCCAAAGGGACCCTGCTTGTTGAAACTGCCCGACCACTCCTTATTATTGGTCCGGTCGCAGATGACCAATTGAAAGCCGAGCTTTAGCAAGGAAATCTAGGGAAAGGAGCCGCGCCCTTCCGCTGTCACCGTTGTTCTGTGATGGTTTGCTTACGAGCATGTAAGTAGCTAACTAGCGTGGAGATGTTGCACTCGAACGCGTCTTCCCCAACCCGATTGAGCTTGCCGAAGTATGTAACAACCTGTGACGTGGCTATAAGACACTGAATCCTACAACCAACTGGTCGTCCCGGAACCTCCACGCTTCCTTCGACTCTGCGAACCCCTGAATGCCAGGTTGCGAGACAATCCCCGGCGTTGAGCAAAACTCGAGATGGAAGCCTGCAGATAGAGGCATGTTTCAGTTCCTGTAGGAGCACAGTTTTAGCCAAGTCGGCTAGATTCGTTCAACACTCCCTAGGCTTGCAGGGCATCTCATGATTCAGGCATGATAAGCTTTCTGTAGCTAGACTCCGACATCCAGAAAAAGCTCTTTGTCACAGGCCCTCAACGGCCTGAGATCCTCCAGATCCTGCAATCCCGTTCCCCTCCATCACTCCCGACAATCCAGGGCCTAAAGCCCGAGGAAGCAGAGACGGTAGCATAGGAGCAGTCGGTGAAGCGGTGGATGATAGCAGCTTCATCTCTTCGTGATTTGTTGTGCCGAAGACATTAACTTTCGAAGTCTCGACATTTGCCGCGAATAGGATTAGACGAATTCATCGGCGTTCAAAGGTGCCCCTGATGGTGACCATATCACAGCGCTTCCAGGGGCGTCGTGCATGTCCCTTCCTCCGGTTTTGAAATCTCAGAATCTCTCATTCTTTGACTCGAACTCCCCAAACTTCAAAAGCCGAGGTATCGAAGTTCCGGAGCCTAAGCTGACCTTCCAACTTCGAATCTCTTTGAGCTCTAGTCCGCTTGAGCCGTTTAATGCTTATACACTGCCAGCCCTAAGCCATGGCCCCTTTGCATCAGCGTGCAAGTTGCCATCGAGGGATGTGTCCAAGTTTGTTCCATAAGATACTGCAGTCCTAAACACGGAGAAACCGCTGCCCGACGCCTGCCTGGTGGCAGATTCTGAGACGGTGTTGCGTTCAAGCGAGGTAGCAGCGCCAGGAACAATATGAATACCACGCATCCTTCATGTGTTCTGTTCACGGTAGCCACATCATCACTCAAGTAGCACGTGACTTGGTAACAGCTACGACTGCACCTGCAAGCCAGCCATAATGTTTCGCTTCGGGTGCTTGTGTACTGGAGGCCCAGCCATCCCAAACCCAAAGTTAGTTCAGCACCCTCTTCCCCTTTGCAACAGGATCAAGTTCTGAGGGCGGCGATGACAGCCGAGGCGGCGGGCTGTCAGAGTAAGGTGTTCAGAGGTGCAGGTGGGCATCCACCGGGCGGGAAGTTTTCGAGATCAGCTTCAAATTCAGGAGACCTTCGATCTTTCAAATCCTACTTGTTACTCTTGCAAGGCCCCAAATCCTAGACCCTGCTGTGGCTTGAAAACCGGTTGCTTGTGTCCACATCCCTCGACATCCTGGTGTCAACAACCTCCTAGACACTTCAAAGGGCAAAGCCGTACAACATTCTTGCACAATACCATGATCTATATGTTATCATGCACGAAGCAGAAGGCCGCAAGCTTCCTGCACTGTTACCCTCAAAGTGGATGCAAGTGTCCATCAAACACATCCCAAAGATGCTGCACTGTCGAGGCGCGGTCTTCAGATACTTTGGATAGACAGCTTTCTGGGTCAGCATAAGCATTGTTCGGAGAACTGAACTGAGCATAGTTGCAAGTTGCGGCCGTTAAGTTCATGTCAATGTTTCGAGCTCTCTCTCTCTCTCTTTCTCTTGTCCTCTTCCCAATTCAGCGGCCTGTTCCCAACCCGAGCCCGAATGATTTAATCAAAACACAATCTTGAGGCCCGAAGTCGGCTGCACCGCATGGGGTTCTACTTAGACGAGTCGCTGACGAGTGGTCTCATCATCTTCAGCTTAAGCAATCACACCCCTTGAGATCGAGGAGGGACTCAAGCAAAGCAAGCAACGTTAGATCCGAAGGCGTCTTAATTTCCTTCGTTTCTCCTATACCTCGAACCTGGGCGAAAGGCCACGGCTCGAAGCAGCAGCCTTTAACCGCTTTTGGCCCCTCGACCTGCCCATGCCTCAGGCGCCGATGCGCCGCGCTGACCTCGCCATCGCGAAGCCCTCGGCGGCGCAGGAAGCCCATGGGCAAGTCCCAACATAAAGCCCCATGAACCCCAGAAGGGCCGTTGAGCGTGATGAACTCCATGTGCCAACCACAAACTCGAAGCCCGAACTCTAAAAAGACTGTACAGTGCGGTAAAGTCAGCATGCCAGGAAGCTTAAGCCTACCCTGCAAGAGCATTGAGAATAAGCTTGAATAAGTTTGGTCGCATGTTGAGGGCAATGTTTGTCCTAGCCACAGCTGCTTTCCCGTCTCCGCATCTTAGTTGAAGACAGTAAACCACGAGGCATTCCTGCCTAACTCTATGCCTAACTCTTGCCGAAGTGTTGCACTGGGATGGGGAGAATGCTGCTATTTGGCGATTCGTCGGTTCCGATTTCTGGTGTCAGTCGAGCATGTACAAGTCATCAGAGTTATCCTTTGTTTCTGTCTGCCCTCCTTTCCACGTGCTCTAGGCGTACCTTGTGCCAGACACGCTTACCTTGTGACAAAACGCTTTGTCGTACGTGTGAATGTAGAGAGGGACAGGCATATCCAAGCCGTTAAAATGGACGTAGATCGGTCGTGGATAGATCTGACACTGAGTGCCAGGCATTCCGAGCAACTGGATCGCCGAAAAGGGCCCCGCGCTTCCAGGAACCCCCCAAGGGCCCTTTAACAGAGTCCTTATAGGGCCCTTAATAGTGAGTATTCGTGGGATATTCGAGGCTATGTTGGGGGGTCTAGGTTGGCCCACTCTTTACAATGGTTCCTCGATCGCAGATGACCAGGACCATGGCCGAAGTCATCGAGGCCTTGGGCCAAGAGAAAGGAACAGAGCTCGTCCACTCCGTGCCTTTTAGGGTTCAGCATTTAGGGGTATAGGTTTGCAATTACAGGGTTTAGGTTTAGGGTTTAGTGGCTTAGGATCAAAAGCAAAACAGCCTGGAGATTTGGCGCTCTAACACACCATGCTTACTTGGAACTCAGTGAGACTTCTGCTGAAGCTTTGACATGATGAGACGACACATCTTGCGGCAGAACTATCCGTCACGCTCCGCGCGAGTATCCGATGCACAGGCATGTTCTGAAGCTGGAGTTAATGCGTGGGCCTTAATTACCTATACTGTTTTGGGTGGCTCCTGTTCATAATTATACTGGGCCCCTAAGCCTTATTCTAACTTTAAGGCCCCTATATTCGAAACTTCAATGTTTCCTTAGTTATTGAGCTTTGCCAGGCTCCAGTCTGGAGCCAGTGCGGTTTAGAAGTAAGCCTCGATATCTCTGTAGACTTCTGGACTGTGGAAGCTGGTCTGGGAGTAGGGTTTAGGGTTTAGGGTTGAGGGTTTAGGGTTTAGGGTGAGGAAAGGAGGCCCGGATGGATGCCTTACCGTGCTGGGCATTGGGTTGGGATGCGGTGCTGCTTGTGCATGTGATACCCCAAAGACCAGCAAGACATTTCACTCGAGAATTTGCCTTGAAATCCCTGTAACGCAGAAAGTCTGAAGTTTTGGAATCGTTGCATTCTTCGGCTCTACAAACCTGTCGCATGCCAGATTCTTCACGAGGCAGTTCCTGACGCTCTGAAAGACCCGAGGTTTCCGCGAGGACACCACGCAAGTTTCAGCAAGGTCGGTTGTGCAGTTATACACGTTCAAGACTCCTCAGGCTGTAGGGCAGCTCAGGTTTCAGGCATGCGAAGTTTTATGTGGCCGTGCCTTTTCCCGACATCCCGAAGAAGTTGATAGTCGCAGGGCCCCAGCAGCCCTAGATCCTGAAATCCGAAGCCGCCCACGGGCCCTCCAAACCCGAAGAGCAACGCCCAAAGCGCGAAGTGGTATACGGTGGTAAAGGGTTGCTTGTGGGGATCTGTAGGGTTTAGGTGTTAGGGCTTTTGCGGGTTAGGGTGTAGGTGTTTCAGAATTTTGAGGGCTTTGGGATTTAGGATTTCTTGAGTTTTGTTTTTGGTGTGTCGGAGTGGGGTGGGATGATCGCAGCTTCAGCGCTGAGTGATCCGTTGTCTTCCGGGGGCGTTTGGGCGTGTTCCCTTCCTCCGGTTCCGATGCTTCTCCGCTTTTGACTCGAAGTCCCCAAACTCCGAAAGCCTGGCACCGAAGTTCCGAAGCCAGAACTAACCTTCCGACTGCGAAACTCCTTGAGCCCTAGTCTCCCTGAGCTGCGAAGACCCTTCTAGTGTTGGCTTTAGGGCTTAGGGTTGAACGTTTAGGGGTTTACGTTTGGGGTTTAGGGATGTTTAGGGTATATGGCCCATTTCCATCAGGGTACAAATGGTCATGAATGGGTGTGTCCATGTGAGTTCCACCAGGTAAAATGCTGCAGTCCTACTCGCCTAGAAAACCGATGCCCGAAACATGCGCTGTGCCAAATCCAGGTACTCGTGAAGTTACTGTGTACAAACGAGGTAGCAACACTAAGAGCAATCTTAGGCGAATACATCCTTCATCTATTCACGGTACCCACATCATCACTCAATTACTACGTGTATTGGTAACAGCTCCGACTGCACTTGCAAGACAACCATCAAGTCTCGTTTCAAGTGCTTGTGTACTGGAGGCCGAGCCATCCCGAACCCAAAGTTAGTTCAGCGCGCCCTCCCCCACCCAAACCCATTCCATGCAGGAGCAACTTCTGAAGGCTGCGATCGAAGCCGAGGCGGAGGCAGGTCGCCGTCAGGGGAAGGTATTTAGAGGTGTAGCTGTAGCTGTGGAAGTTTTCGAGAGCAGCTTCACCGTTGATGGTTCAGATTTCTACGACTACATGGACCACCAAAAGACATTCCTTTCAATCTCTACTTGTTCTGGTCAGGCCCGAATCCTGCAACGCGGCTCTCCATGTTTTGGCGTCTCAGTAATCTCCAACTTCGCTTCGTGGGGGCCATCTTAAATTTGTAGCAGTTTCAGTTTCAGTTCATGACCCTGTGCCGTGGCTTGAAAACCGTTGATGGTGTCCAGAGCCCTCAGGCGTCCAGTCAGGCCCTGGGTGCCAATGTCGTTGGCATATGCGGGCATCCCGGCTTCAACAGCCTCCTAAGCAGCTCTTGCACAAGCCCATGACCTCTATGTCATCATGCTCGAAGCGGAAGACCCCAAGTTTCCCCTCCAGTGCTTCTCCCCAAAGTGGATATACTATACATCCCGAAGATACTGCACTGTCGAGGCGTGGTCTGCGGATAGGCAGCTTTTCGGGTTAGCGAAGCATGGGGTTCTACTTAAAGAGTCGCTCGTGCTTGCTTTCATCATCTTCAGCTTGAGCAATCACGCCACTTGAAATCGATAAGGGACTCAAGCCAAGAAAGCGACATTAGATTGGAAGTGGCCTCTTACTTCCCCTCGTTCCTCTGACCTTTGCACACCCCATACTACACTTGCAGCAACCAAACTTTACACTGCACCTCGAACCTGGGAGAAAGGCCACGGCTCGAAGCAGCAGCCTTTAATCGGCTTTTGGCTCTCGACCGGCCTATGCCTCAGGCGCCGATGCGCTGCGCTGACCTCGCCATCGCGAAGCCCTCGGTGGCGGATCTTTGTTGAAGACAGAAACCCGCGAGGCATTCCTGACTAACTCTTGCCGAAATGTTGCGCTGGGATGGCGGAGAATCCGGATATTTGGCGACTCCTTGGTTCCGATTTCTTTTCCCAGCCGAGCATGTAAAGGTAGCAAGTCTTCAGAGTTCTCCTTCGCAGTAGTTCCATGCTTGTCGTCGCCGGCCGTCGGAGCGATGCAGCTCCAGATCCCAGGTGAAGAACACTTGGAGCCTATTGGGTTTGGGGCTTATAAGGGTTACAATAGGGTTGAGGCTCAGGGGTTATGGGGATTTAGGGTTTATATGGCTTGTACTGTTTGTGGCTGCGGTCTCAGCAGCTGTGTTCGAGAATTCGAGACCTTACTAAGCCCGGATCCCAGGCGATTTGTTGTTGATCGACGTTCCGGCGTGGAGGATTCTTCATAGGTCTCCCAGTGGGCCCTTGTTCCCTTTTTGAGGTCGTAGGTTCCTTATACTAACACAAACCAAAACCCAAAAAGGTAGCTCCGTACCCTTGAGTTGCATCCTTGCGTTCCAACCTCTCGGAACAGGATAGGGAGAGCATGTCCCAGGCCTTTCAGGGTTCAGGGGGTTGGGGGCTTTTCTAGGGATGAGAAGGCTTCGTGGGTATGGTCCCTAAACCCTAAACCCTATGGTTGCGAGATCTCGCAGTGCAGGGTTTCTGGTGGTGGTACAGGCGACGGAAGATTGACTGTGGAAATCCTTGCGTCGCAAGCAGCAATCCCGCTGTATACCTGACCGAAAAGACAACTCTAAACCCTAAAACCCTAAACCCTAAACCCGCATGGGGATAGCCTTGCAGGGCTGCCTTCCTTGGCCTGCGAAAGCTGAATTCATGGCTATTGCTACTTGGATTATCCACTACGTCTTTTAGCAGCAACTTCAACAATCAAAAGCGTCATAACATGGACAGCAACGACCCGCAAACATGATGGAACTTAGCCAAGCTAGCTTTGCGGCTAGGCATAACAACAGCGACACTGGCAGTCTCCCACTGCGGCTTTTCTTTTGTAGAAAGTCGAATGTACCTATCATGCATATAAACAGAATTCTATAACGTAATCCCCCAAAAGGAACTACTATGGGGCCTATGGGTAGCCATCCGAGGTACAAAGTCAACCTAAATCTCCTCACTGCCGACCTGCGTAAGCCTCAGGTGCCCGTGTCCGCCTGCGGCGATGCCATGACGAAGCAGGCTCACCGAGAACGTCTGTGCACAAACTCTCCATGTTTTGTCTCCGAAAAGCCGCACCGAGAAGCATTCCTGCCTGTAGAGCCGCCGGCCATAGCGCTTTGGACAGGTCTGCGACGGTCCGCGAGCCTGCCGGAAGCTGGCATGCGCTTGTGGTCCCGCCATTTTGTTAAGGTGATGTGAGGAGAGGGACAGTGGGGCGGCATTCGTCAAGATTATCGGAGCAATACGTGAGCTCTGCTGCAGAGCATGACGTCTTGATGACTTCGGCAGCATCTCTGGGGCTCAAGCGCTTTTCCATCTGCCAAGCAGAACAGCGCCTCAGCTCAGGGTTGCCCCAACCATGACGGCGAAGATGGCCAAATCCATCAGCCAGCTATCAGTAGGCCGGGAGTTCCTCTGCTTCGTGTGCGTAGATAGCGTCAGCCAGCGAGTCCATATCGGGCTTTCAGACGCGTTGTCGCCTTCCAGTTTCGGAGCCTCATATCCTTGTATCGTCAGGCCAGAAAGTCACTGCGATCGTGAACAAGCAGGACAATTTTCATGATTTGGCCGTTGGATGCCAGGAAAGTTCTGACATTTAAGACTTGTACAGGTTCAGTGTAGGCTGTATCTTTAGGTGGCTTCGCAACTTCGGTATACTTATAGATCGATCCTCGCAAGAACCGCCCAAGCAGAGGAGGAGAAGACGGGCACCATCCGCTTCCTTGGCACCACGAGCTTCTCCGAGGGGGAGTGGGTCGGGCTGGAGCTGGAGGAGCTCCCGGGCTTTCGGGAGGAATCGGTAGTTCCATGTGGCACGGTATACCTGTTCAGTCGTACCCTGCGAATATATGTTTCACCCTTTATCAAAGACGTGCTCGAGCACGTGAAGTGGGAGTGGGCATTGGACAAGTTCGTGCAGCAATGCCTATACAGTCTACAGGTTCACGACCTCGGCTTGATTACATCCTGCTCTTTGTAAACCAAGTGGCAGAAGAACCACCAGTCTCCCCAGTCTCACTCGGTTCTTTTGTTGTAAGCCTCGTTTCGACAAGCACACATGGGAGACAGCCCTTGACGACCGAATGGACCAATGGACTAGCCGTGCCTTCGAAGCTGGGCGTTTTCTGCAGGACGACGGCGGAAAGAACGACGGCGAAGTGAGGGGCCAGCGCTATTTCACCTGCCCGCCACCTTGCATGAATTGAGGCTCCTGGTCACGGTTTGGGTTTGTAGGGCCTATGGAGTTTAGGGCTAAGCGTGGTTCAGGTACAGGTTTTAGGGCTTAGCAGGGTCGTGTGATAGACGTGGGGGAACTGCAGGATCCGGTTCCAGGTCTCCAGCTGCAGCTGATTTGTCTTGTCAGATACTCGTACGGGGGACGACGGGGTCTTTAGTCGGAAGACCCCTAAGCCCGGCATTCTGCAGGCTAAAGATCTCAGTCCGGCTGCATCAGTTGATTTCATGTCTTAGCTAGCCTCAACTTGCCTGATGATGTTTGTGTTGGCCGCGCCAGCTCCTTCGCCGAAGCGCAGGTGCATTTCCCGCATCGTAGCTTTTCGCCAGGCGTCCCCCCGCAACTCCTGCGTAACTCCACCTGTGTCGGAGTCCGAGGCCCCAGCGTGGCTTGTTCATGAGGCCAACGATGGTGAAGCTGCCAGCGCCGTCCGGGACTCGGAAGTGGGAAGACGGCCGAGATGCAGAGGCAGAAATCACAGGATCCGTTTTGAGTGACTTCATGGGTTTCCTTTCGGTACATCCTGCCTGTCCTCCCATGCTAATTTTTATGAACTCTGCGAGGCCTCAGAAGACTAGACCACAAAGGTCCATCTTGCTGTTTTGCTTTCCAGGGTGCAGCGTATTGGCGTTTTCAGACCAGCCTTCAAAACGGCTCGCAGGGTTTGGGCATCTTATCGTGATTTGGCGAAGCGACTGTGTGTCTCCGTCTGGAGGTTGTTGACTGTGACCTTATGCGTGTCTGTGTGTGTGTACATGTACACGTTTGACTTGCTCTCTCTCTCTCTCTCTAGGTCTCTCTTTGTCTCTCTCTCTCTCTCTCTGTTTCTTTGCCGTTGTCGTCTTTGCCTTTCTCTCTTCCACTGTCTCTCCATGTCTCTCCCCTCCTGTCTTGCTCCTTAGTTTCTGACGTTTGCTTCTTTCTTCTTTGTGTTGCAACCCGACAAGAACGAAGACGCTGTCTGGTCTTTAATCCAAAGATTCTGCCTTTTCAAGGGCACCGACGGAAGAGGGTCAAGACGGAGAAGTCAGCCTGAGATTGCAGCTTGCAGAGGCCGGCTTTGGACGCTGTTCCTTCCTGTAGGAGTGCTTCGAAAGCGTGAAGTGTCGGGGTAAATACGAAGCATCTTGCATGTGTTGTGCTTGAAGCACCTTCCTCACCCATTTGCGTCTATATTCACTCTATATACTGCATTGTGCTGCTATTGCTAGCTGTTGATTTTCCGGCTGTCGTTGAGTTGTAGGCTTTGGGAGACCCAGTAGGCCCAAAGGCCGATGTACACTTTGCAAAGCTCGCAGCTGCAACGGCAAGCTCTGTTTGCTGAAGGCTTCAAACTCTGGCTCTGCCCAGAACAATCAAAGGCCCCAACTTTAATTAAGCGCATGACGGCGGTGATGCACACACGGAGCCGGTGAGTTTGACGTGTCAGCACTGCTTTGTCGGAACCGCAGACCATGCAGGCGGTGGAGGAGAACAACGTGGGGGCCATTGAGGGGCTGCTTTGGAAAGCCGAAGCCGAGGGCGTCCCTCAGGACACTGCAGGGCTCGCGTATCGATTATGGAAAGTCGTTGCCCGCAGGAGCGACGGACGACTGTAGGGCTCACTGGAGTTATTGGGCGTCGGTTCCTGTTGCTGCGTTCTTGCTGTTCAGGAAGTGTTGGCAGCATGAGTGCCGATCGGAGCCGGTGTAGTTTCCCATAACGCTGAAGATTATTTACAACTGCCAGCCGCACCCTAAGGGCTAAACCCTCAACCCCAAACGCTAAACCCTCCACTCAAGGGTTTCAGTAGGGCCTCTAAGAAGCAAGCCTTCTCGACAGGAGGAGATCGATTTGGCTCAGAGGCGCCTGGCATATTTGCAAACGCGCCCTGCTTGCAGGCCATGAGCCTTAAGTCTCGGGCGGAACTCCTTCGTGTCTTATGCAAGCTTCCATGCTTGAAGCCGCCAGTCCCATGAAATAAACGGCGCATGCTTCACCTATCAACCGTATAGCTTGTTACAAATTGCACGGTCCCCGGCATGTCATGTCACACATCTCTGTGACTCTGTGTGTTCATTTCTTGTGATTTCTGCCGGGGTGTAACATCGCCCTTCCTCCTCGTACGGATACCGATGCTGCCTGCAGAAGAAGTCTAGCTGAACTCCGTCCTCTTTTTCGAAAGCCCAAGGTCCGAAATTGTCGTGGAAGACTCGGACTCGGCTGAGGAAGAGCCGCCGAAGCCGAAGCCGCAGCTCATCGACCTGCTCGGGGGCGAGGCAGCGGGGGCTCTCTTTCTCTTTCACTGCCTCCTCCTGCGAAGCTATAGACCTCGAAGCCGCGTAACTGAGGTGGTGTTCCGGTTTTGTAAGCCGAGATGGGGACTCTGCCCGCCTTCAGATGGAATGGCAAGACGCAAAGGTTGAGTGCAGGGTCTCTGGCGTCCATTGTCGGATGTGGAGGTCTTGAGCCGAAATGGCGAGTGTTGGCATCCCGCTGCTGGAGTCTACGAGTTGCGGGCCATTCGTTTAGAAGGGTATGAAGCAAGTACCAGCATCTTTTGTTGAAGGTGAGAAGAGATCCCACCCGACTCCGCCAGGAGGAGGTGAAGAAACACCAGGCAGCGTCGCGGACTTTGCAGCAGAAAGTCGTACAGATGGTCAAGGAAAACGAGGACCCGAGACGCAGCAAGCTTGCTTCTCTTCTTCCGGACTGTCCAGTGTGTTGGGTTCGTTCCACCCGGTGGCCGCAGCGCTTCTGAATCGTGTTTTGCAGCCGGACCTTTTGTTCGTTCGCGAGGACCCAGCCAGCCAGCCGGCCATCTACCAAGGCGCGGCGTGCGCCCGCCGCGGAAGAGTTCCCTCGGTGAGTTTTTTTCTGCTGGTGTGGGTGTCTTCGGTATATCGAGAGAGTTATAGAGGTTGCTATATTCACGCAGGGATTCACAGATGCGGAAATGAATGATCATTCTTGATGAGTTCAATTAGTGCCCGACCTGTCGGGAGACGGATTCGCCAGTCCACCGAGTTGCGCCGAACTAAACCGCAGAGTCGCCTGGGAGGCATGGGCTTGGAGCACATGCTGCAGTCATCCGTGCGCTTCAAGAAAGACTTCGATGATGTCTGCCATAAGTTTGCGAAGCACATTCAGGAGCAAGGGCGGGGGCATGCTTCGTGCGAGTTTCTCTCCCACTGAGCCTTTGCAAGCAGGTCTCATGCAGGTCTCATGCAAATGCAGGGCCGCCAAGTAAACAGGACGAATCCTTTCAGAGTGTATGCATGCTCTTGACAATGTTGTTTGTAGGCGTGCTGAACGTGCAGCAGCAGCAGCAGGAGCTGTGATGGGAAATACAAAGTCCCGTCTATCAAAAGGGGGTAATCGGGAAAGGACTTTGATGCCCCAGATTCCCCATCTCGGGTTGGTAGTTCTCTGTTCATCTCTGTTTGCTTCATGTGCAGCACCCATCACTGTAATCATCCGGCAGGACAGTGTGCTGAGGGTGCAGCAGCATCGGAAGCTGTGGTGAGAAACGGGATGTCGTGTCTATCAAACGGGGAAACTCGGGGAGGCACTTTGAGGTCCCAGCTTCTACTACTGGGTTGGTAGTTCTTTGTTTACTGCCTGTGCCGCACCTAGCGGCTAGCACTGTTCTCGCATGCCAGGACAATGGCTATGACGTCTCTTTCATGGCTGCCTCGATCAAGTCCCTGGCCTCCGCGGCCAGCAAAGTCAACACCGAGTACCACGGCGATTGCCGCCAGCTGAAGGACGTGGTGCGTGGCACGCTGGTCATCAAATCTGGCAAGGACAGGCCTTGCATTTGTTCCCAATCTGTCGAGACTGATGTCAAGATCAGTAGATGTCGGATAAAAACTGAGCGAGCAATCGTGGCAGGACGGCACTGCGCCCAGCGTTGCAGCCGGCTACGAGATCCTGCAGATGCTCGTGGAAGACGAGGGTCGCTTCCTGGAATCCGCTAACGCGCGGTTTACCCGCTTCAGCGACCGCTATCAGAAGCCTGTCGGAGCGGCGAAGTGCCTGGGTTGCATGCCTTGCTGCGATTTGCCGCCCGCGTTTCGGTAGACCCGGCATCAGAGACAGAACCCAGGTACCGCGACTGGTTGCTGCTCCTGAAAATCGGTGACTTCGTCTGCGAGCTCCAAGTCAACTTCGAGCAAGCGGTGCAGGCAGGAGGGTTAAAGGAGTCCAAAACCTTATCAACTTGGAGGTTTATAGAGACCTGTGTGTGGTCGAGCACTGGATAGAATTTGCTTGCCAGGTGAAGGAAGAGGAGCAGCACCACAAATACGAGCTGCAGCGCCTCGCCACGCGTAAGCTGCTGGAATCGGCGATGAGGAACGATTATGGCATGGTCCACCTCCTGCCCCTCAGCCGCAGCCACGGGCGCGATTGAGGCGCCTATTTGTGAGGTGTCTTCTGCAGGCTAGCATGCTGGATGACATATGGTTTTCGAATGGTGTGTTTCCGTTTCCAAGCGGTTCGGCAACCTGACAATTATCAGAAAGCATCCATATAGAAACATGACGTACGCACGCATGCACATACGTAAGTAGGGACGTGATAGCTTCCTCACGCAGTGGCACGAAGGTGTATAGTATAGAGTTCCGGCCAAAGCTCCGCACATCCCGAAACCTTCGCGAAACCTGGCCCCGAGGTTGGCCTCCAACGGCCTTCACGGCGAAAGCCTAGTGAATGCACGCGACTGCCATGGTTTCACCCCGCTCCACTACGCAGCCAGGCCCGAGGGATGCTCGCACAACGCAGTGTTGTATCAAGGGGCCTCATCTGAGTGAAGTTATCTGTGCGACTGAAGGCCTCGAGGCCCAAGTTCTCCCACCCAAAGGCAGATCGCCCCGGCCAGGCATGGGAACGCTCTGATGTTGGAGCTGCTTCTGGGGCAGGGTGCAAATGTTCTCGCGCTCGACAGGGATGGGCTGCCCCCGCTTCACCATGCGCTGGCCATGGTCCACCCTGAAGCCTGCCAGAAGTTTCTGACTGTTATGGACGACCTGCCGAAAGAGCTTCTCAGGAAAGAGCCCCTCGCGAGCAATCTCCAAAGCCTTTGGGGATCTGCGTTGCATTCGAACAGCGAAGCGAAGCATGGCCTTGCAGGGAAGATGGCTGAGGTGGCCAAGAGAGCCTACAGCACTCCGGCACAGCACCTGCAGGCCATCGCCCGGAGTGGCGATGTGCCGGCCATGAGGGCGGCCTACAAGACCCTGCCGCAGGACTATGTGATCCTCGGGTGGGCAAGTGTCCCGTATGATTTTGTGGAGTGTGGGACGGTGTCGATGCTCGATCTCGCCATCCTAAGTGGCTCTGCCGCCATGGCCGCGATGGTCGCAAAGCCAGACGACCACGGCGCACCGAAAATTTACGAGGGTGACGACTACGTGATTGACTTCCTTTTCCTGCACGATGAGCCCAAACAGGTAGAGAGGCTGGTGAGGCAGGGCAAAGTCGCCCGGTTCCGTGCCCTGCACTCGGTCCACCCGCCGGACACCAGAAGGATGGCGGAGCTTCTCGTCCTCGCTGCCGAGCACGACCAGCTGGAGATGGCACACCAGATCTGGACGCTCGGTGGAGGCGACTTAGCTTCGTCTCTGACAGATGAGGAGAAAGAGAAGCTCGTGGGCTTGGGCATGCAAGCAGCGGCGCTCGGCCACGAGGACTTCGTTCGCCTGCTGATCGAGGCCGAGGCACCAATCGACAAAAGGATTAATGACAACAGGATGATCGAGCAAGCGGCCCGCGCCGGGCAGACGGCCCTCGTGCAGCTTCTGGCAGATGCAGGGGCGAATATTCGGCATAGGGTACTCGACAAAGCTGTAGAGTTTGGACACTACGACACTGCAGAAACCCTGCTGAAGCGAGGTGCAAATCCAAAGGAAAGCTGGGATGACGGCAGCGGGTGTGACTCTGTGATCGGCCAGGCGATCATCGAGAATCGACCCGAGATGCTCCATCTGCTCGCGCAGTACGGCGCCGACACCTACACCGACGAGAATTTGGAATATGCCGAGGAGATGCAGGCGTTTGACTGCCTGGAATTCATGCGCCGCTCCCGGGAGGGGGCATGCCCCGCGTAGAGCCGCAAAAGGGAAGTTCAGAGCTAGATTAAGTTTTGATTATAGATTTGCTAAGTACAAGTAGAGAGTCCATATATACATCATAGTCCATATATACATCTGTACGTACGCAGATGTATGATCATAACAGCACCGTCAGTCATATGCATGTGGGCAGATGTATATGTGTACCAAAAGAAAAGCAATTAGACAGACACATAAAGAACTAAGCCCATGTGTATATGTATATGTATATGTATATGTATATGTATATGTATATGTATATGTATATGTATATGTATATGTTGTATATGTATATGTATATGTATATGTATATGTATATGTAAATGTATATGTTTACGTATATGTATATGTATATGTATATGTATATGTATATGTATATGTATATGTATATGTATATGTGTGTATATATATATATACATATACATATATATATATATATATGTACGTGTATATATGTATATACATATATATATATATATATATGTATATATATATATATAATATATATATGTATATATATATATATATACATATATATGCATATATATAGATATACATATATATATATATATATATATATATGTACGTGTATATGTATATATAGATAGCTAGATAGATAGATAGATAGGTAGATAGATAGACAACACATGATAAGCACGTAGTCAGAAACTTGAAGACTATGTACACAAAGTGCCTATATACATTCATGACGATCCCGTTTTGGCTCTTCGGGACATCGCGACAACGTTGCACCGACGCATTTTCAGCTGTCATGGAAAACCGCAAACAGCTCGCCGCTCTGAGGAGGGCGGTGCGGCTGCTTCTGTGAGCTGTGGGAGCGGTGGGAGCTACAGCCTTGAGCTCTACAATGCCAGGTTGCGAGGCAGTCCCTGGCGCTGGGAGAAACTCGACATGGAAGCGTGCAGACAGAGGCGACATTCGGTTCCTGTAGGGACAGCCCACCGCCAGTTTCAGCAAAATCGGCTAGATTGGTTCAACACTCCCCAAGCTTGCAGGGCATCTCAGGTTTCAGGCATGATGAGGTTTCTGTAGTTAAACTCCGACATGCCGAAGAAGCTCATTGTCGCAGGCCCTGCACGGCCTCGGATCCTCCAGATCCTGCAATCCTTTTCCACCCCATCCAGGCCTAAAGCCCGAGGAAGTAGAGACGGTAGCATAGGAGCAGTCGGTGAAGGCTTGGGGCAAAGTCGTGAATGATCGCAGCTTCCTCGCTTCGTGATTTGTTGTGCCGAAGACATAAACTTGCGAAGTCTCGATCTTTGCCACGGATAGGACTAAACGGTTTAGTCGGCGGTCAAAGGCGCCCCTGATGGTGACACTATTGAGCACGTCCCTTCCTCCGGTTTTGAAGTTTCTCCATTGTTGACTCGACTCTCCAAATTCCAAGAGCCTGGTATCGAATTTCCTAAGCCAAAGCTGACCTCCTAACTTCAAGGTCCTATAGGTCTTATACCCTGCCAGCCCTAATTGTAAGCCCTGGCCCATTTCCATCAGGTTGCATTTGGCCATCAAGGGATGTGTCCAAGTGAGTTTTATTAGGTAAAAACTGCAGTCCTATACACCGAGAAACCGATGCCCGAAGCCCGCCTTGGGGCAAATCCGGGTACTCGAGACGGTATTGTGTGCTAACGAGGCAGCAACCTCAAGTAGCACGTGTGTTAACGTATTTGGGCAATCCTGGTAGGCATGTTGGCAGTGTTAGCGTATTCGGGCAATCCTGGCAGGCATGTTGGCAAGTTGAGTCAGACCTATTAGCAATGTATGTTTGGTCGTGATGGTTACAACTAGCCATAGCTACGACTGCACTTGGAAACCAGTTATCAAGTCTCGCTTCGGTGCCCGTGTACTCGAGGCGAAGCCATACCGAACCCAAAGTTATTCCAGCACTCTCCTCCCCCAAGCCGATTCAATACAGGAGCAAGTTCTGAAGGCTGCGGTGAAAGCCGAGGCCGAGCGCTGTCAGAGGAAAGCGTTGAGAGGTGTAGGCGTGCATCCACCGTGCTGGAAGTTTTGAGAGCAGCTTCGCCGTTGATGATGCAGATTTCTACATTGACCACCAGGAGACCTTCGTTCAATCCCAGTTGGTCTTGTAAGGCCCGACATCCTAGACCGCAGTCTCCAGCTTCGCTTCGTAGGGACAAAGCCCTTGCACAAGCCCGAAACCCATGAGTATGCCTGCAGCAGAAGCCTGCAAGCGTCCGGTATTGTTACAGTGCTTCCCCCCCCCACAGTGGATCTGGCCATCAAATACATCCTGAAGATACTGCACCGTCGGCGCGCGGTCTTCGGATAGACAGTTTGGGTTGTCTAGCACAGGCACAGTCAATCGGGGAACGGAGCGGAGCATGGCTTCAAGTTGCGGCTGTAAGTTCACTCTCTTGTCCTGTTCCCAATCCGAGCCCCAATGATTTTAACACAAAGCCTCGAGGCCCGAAGTCGGCAGGAGCCCATGGGTTCTCCTTAGAAGAGTCGCTCGTCGTTGCTCTCATCATCTTCAGCTTGAGCAATCACGCCGCTTGAAATCGAGAGGGGACTCAAACAAAACAAAACAACATTATTATATCAGAAGAGCTCTGGGTGGCCTCTTTCTTCTGACCTTTGCCCACCCCCTACCAACTAATGGGAGCAATGTCGCCACCTCAAACACTGCACCTCGAACCTGAGAGAAAGGGCACGGCTCGAAGCAGCAGCCTTTAACCGGCTGTTGGCCCCTCGACCTGCCAGTGCCTCAGGCGCCAATGCGCCACGCTGACCTAGCCGTCGCGAAGCCCACGGCGGTGCAGGAAGCCGATGCACAAATCCCAACATCAAATCCCATGAACCCCCTGCAGAAGGGCCGTTGAGCGTGATGAACTCCATGTGCCAACCACAAACTCGACAAAGACTGTACAGTGCGGTAAAGTCAGCATGCCAGGAAGCCAAAGCCTACCCTGCAATAGCACCGAGAATAAGTTTGCAATAAGTTTGGTCGCATGTTGAGGGCAATGTTTGTCCTAGCCACAGCTGCTTTTCCGGGTCCGGATCGTTGTTGCAGACAGTAAGCCACGAGGCATTCCTGCCTAACTCGTGCTGAGATGTTGCGCTGGGATGGGGGGGGTCTAGGTTGGCCCACTCTTTAGAATGTTTCCCCGATCGCAGATGACCAGGACCATGGCCGAAGTCAGCGAGGCCTGGGCCAAGAGAAAGGAACAGAGAGCTTTTCTACTCCGTGCCTTTTAGGGTTTAGCATTTGGGGTATGGGGCTGCCATGACAGGGTTTAGGTTTAGGGTTTAGGATCATATGCAGACTAGCTTGAAGAATTGACACTCTAACACGCCCTGCTTACTTGCATTTCAGATAAGTTGAGTATATTCTGAAGCACCGACATGATGGGACAACGCATCTTGCGACAGAGCTGTCCGTCACGCTCCCCGCGAGTATCCGATGCACCAGGCATGTTCTGAAGCTGGGGTTAATACGGGGGCCTTATAATTACCTACTATATTGTTTGGGGGGGATCCTTTTTGTAATTATAATTATAGTGCACTGGGCGCCTAAGCCTTATTCTAATGTTCATACCCCTATGATAGGAGCTTCAATGCTTCTGCAGGGATTAATAAAGTCTTGCCAGGTTTCAGTCTGGAGCCAGTTCGATTTAGAAGCAAGCCTCGATATCTGTGTAGACTTCTGGACTGTGGAAGCTGGTCTGGGAGCATAGGAGGCCCGGATGGATGCCTTACCGTGCTGGGCATTGGGTTGAGATGTGGTGCTTGTGCACTCGAGAATCTGCTTTGAAACCCCTGTAACGCATACAGTCTGAAGCTTTTTTGGAATCGTTGCATTCTTCGGCTCTACCAACCTGTCGAGAGGTTCTGCACGGGGCAGTTCCTGACGCTCTGAAAGACCCGAGGTTTCCTCCAGGACACCACTCAAGTTTCAGCAAGGTCGGTTATGCAGTTATGCGCGTTCAAGACTCGCCTGAGCTGCAGGTCTCAGGCATGCGAAGCTTTCTCTAGCCGTGCCTTTTTCCAACATCCCGAAGAAGTTGAGTGTCGCAGGCCCCAAGCAGCCCTAGATCCTGCGATCCGAATCCGCCACCGGCGCTCCAAAGCCGACAAGCAACGCCCAAAGCGCGAAGTGGTATAAGTGGTAATAGCAGTCGGTGAGTGGGGCGGGATGATCGCAGCTTCAGCGCTGAGTGATCCGTTGTCTTCCATGGGCGTTTGGGTTTGTTCCCTTCCTCCGGTTTCGATGCTTCTCCGTCTTTGACTCGAAGTCCGCAAACTCCGAAAGCCTGGCACCGAAGTTCCTAAGCCAAAGCTAACCTTCCGACTGCGAAAATTCTTGAGCCCTAGTCTCCTTGATTCGCGAAGATCCTTCAAGTGTTATCTTTAGGGTTTAACGTTAAGGGGTTCAAAATTCAGGGTTCAGGGTATGTAGGCCCCATTTCCATCAGGGTGCAAATGGTCAGAATGGGTGTGTCCATGTGAGTTCCACCAGGTAAAATATTGCAGTCCTACACACCTAGAAATCGATGCCCGAAGCACGCCGTGTGCCAAATCCAGGTTCTCGAGACGTTACTGTGTACAAACGAGGTAGCAACACCAAGAGCAATATCATATGAGAGTACATCCTTCATGTATTCACGGTACCCACATCATCACTCAAGTAGTAATTGTATTGGTCACGAGACCAGCAAAGTGAGTCAGACGAACTAGCAATCTGGTGTGGCAGCAGCCGCGCTGACACATTCGCTGGTAGTGTCAAATCTAGCTGAAGATGGTGCAGTCCAGCCATCAAGTCTCGTTTCAAGTGCTTGTGTACTGGAGGCCCAGCCATCCCGATCCCGAAGTTAGTTCAGCACGCCCTCCCCCACCCAAACCCATTCCATGCAGGAGCAACTTGTGAAGGCTGCGATCGAAGCCGAGGCGGAGGCGGAGCGCCGTCAGAGGAAGGTGTTGAGAGGTGTAGTTGTGGAAGTGTTTGAGAGCAGCTT